ATATGTTCCTGGAATTTTTGAGATATTCGAGGTTTAAGATAACACCCGTATAAATTCTTGTTGAATTTAAAGCTGCCCACATTAGGTCACTTGGCAATATTAGATATTTTCAAATAGCAAAGACGATACTACCTCTTTTAAAGATACAATACTCCAGATATACGAATAAAATCTATTGCTAACAATACAGGGTGCCCATTAATACGTGGAAATTTTGAAAAAAATCGACTCTATACTACACAGATTTAATAAAACTTCAGAATTCGTTTAATAGTTAATTATTTATTATTAATTTTTTAATAGTATTTAATAATATTATTTAATAGTTAATAGTTAATTATCTAGTTTGATTGAAAATACCTAATCAAAAACATAAACAATTGAAGTTTATAGGCTAACTAAACAAGGTAACAAATTTGAATAAATATATCTATAAAACAAGAAACAGAAACAAATAACTAAAAAAAATTACATATGGTGATACTGTAATAAATTTTCAATATATTGTCCATCCTCACATTGTATAGCGCGTCCTAATGCTGGAGACCGCACTTCTAACCGCATTACTGTTACTACTACTACTACTTTTACCATTCGTAGGCACCATTCATACAATTTTAGCCGTTCCTGAGCAGAATATTGCAGCATTGTAAGCAAAAAATTATAATTTATTTAAAATATATATTAACAAAAAACTTGACTTTTGAACTATGAACTTTTTAAATAGAAATATGAATAAAAACAAAAACAAACAGAAATGTCAAAGTTCGTTTATACCTTAATGCCTCAAAAAAAAAGATTGGGATATCCTAGCCAACTATATTTTTAAATATTTTGAAATTTCTTTGTTGTTTTCATGCCAGATGAAACGAGCATTTTAAGAGGAACACTTGTAACTAAACTTTATGGACCGAATTAACTCTTTTTAGTTAACTTTTTCCGAAATACAATTGGTCAAAATAGTGGCATTGCGTGGCCACCGCAAAGTGCGGATTTTTTTCAAATTTTTAACGTATTAATAGACACCCTGTATTGTATAGGTTTTATTCGTATATCTGGAGTACTATATCTTTAAAAGAGGTAGTCTTTGCTATTTAAAAAATACCTAATATTGCCAACCAGTGGGCAGCTTTAAATTCAATAAGAATGTATACGGGTGTTATCTTAAACCTCGAATATCTCAAAAAGTAAGTAAAATAAGTATAAAATAAATTACAAACTTACATTATTTTTTGTCCAAGAATCTGAATAAAAATAATAATATAATAATAATAAAAAATTTCTGCCTTTTTCTTTTTCTGCAAAATTTGAATAGGAATTTCTTAAAAAAGAGACCTATATTTTAATCAAGGATTCCAAAAATGTCGACACCCTGTATTATATTTATATTACATACATATACATATATACATATACATATAAACTTTTTTTCATACCTCCTATGGGTTTCCAGATCGCATAGTGGATCGTTTCATTTGGCACACGGTGTACATTTGTGGTCTAATTATTATCGTTATAAAATATTTATTATCTAAAATAAGAGTTAGATTAATTTTCAATTATTCCGATGCTATGACAAACGTTGAAATGGCACATTTAATATGCAACTAGGGGTTCAGAAAAAAAAATTCAAAATACAAGAAAGTCCGCAGATTTTTAAATACATAAATGTGCAGGAAAAGTCGGTCTATGGCAGATAAGTTATGTATGTATGAAAGCTGTAGGTCTCTCAAATTTATAATAATATTTTGTATATACAGGGTGTCCCACCGGGAACTTCGTCGATGGATTATGGTAAAAATATAAGGAGCAAAACTTTGAAATTTTTTAATTAAACTAACGTTGGTAGGGGCAATCCTACCTGTTAAAAACTTCGTAATTTCATTCATTAATAATAAAGGACGTTGAAAAAAAATTCAATCAAAATGAAATTGAAAAAACTGGTGAAAATCTTTTTTTTTTCAATTTTATTTTAATTTATTTTTTTCAACATCTTGTATTATTAAGAATTGAAATTATTAAAGAAATGTGTTCAATAGATCATTGTGTTTAGGATGATGTTTAAGTATATATGAACCCAAGAAGAATAATATATAGGTTGATCCATTAAAATTAGTAAGTTAACACCCACTTACGGTATATCCGGAGGTACCGCCATCTTGAAAATATTTTGGACGGATTGCCCTCATCGAGATTAATCGAATTCCAAATTTTTAAATTATGATTATAGTTTTGCTATGACAAATCGATGAAGTGATCGGTGGGACACCCTGTATAGTTTGTCATTCCCAAAAGCTAATATTTTCGAGAAATTAACACGAATTAATTTTATTTGTTTCAGTTTTAAAGCCGAAGTAGAGAAGGTGCTCTATTATTTCCTCCTGGTCTACTACTACATGGCGTACATTCTTTTGGCCGTGATAATATTCTGCGTCACACTTGTAAGCAAAAATATTTTTGGTCGATATAACGGATTTTGGAACTTCTTTAGACATAAGCCGCTTAAATTTCAGAGTCCATCTGAAAATTACCGAGGTATATTGATCTGCTTCACATCACTCACTTTCAACGCGATACTAACCGGCTACGCTCACAACTTGACCGCGCAGGTAGGTATCCAAACATTGCATGCCGAGTGCCAACAAGCGCTATAAAGCTGTTTGCTCAATTAATAAAAGTTTTAGGGAGATTACTGGTACGAGCTGATTTGTAGCACACCCTGGTATTTGTGGAACGCCACCAACAAAAAGGCGCTACTTCAAGTGATGGTGCACTCTCAAGAATCCATGACATTTTCTGCCTCAACTTTTGTTAAGATTGATACACAATTCTTGTTAAGTGTGAGTAATACCTCTCAGATACTCGTAAAACAGGTTTATTTAAGTAGGTATATATGAGAGGCTTACAATAGAGTCACCAAATGCCTCAAAAATGTAATACGTTGGAACTGCAATATGTATCATACTAATAAATTTTCAAGGCAACATTTTATTGGCTTTTCTTTGTTAAAATTAATTGTTTGATGTACTCTACTTTTTTTCCGCTTTACTTCACTTCACTTTATAATATCCTTCACAAATTCTTCAGGTTTGTCATGTCACCTCACATTATTTGAGGTATAATAGGAATTTTCCTTGCAAAAAACTTCGGCATTGTGGGAAAATTTTTCAAAAATTAATTATTTTTAGTACGTGAGAAACATTTACGGCCTAGCAACAGCGCTTTTCACCATAAGTGGTAGAGAAGACAAGTCGCTACACAGTGGTTAACGCAGGATATCAATGGCTGAGTTTTGTGCTTCAGATTAGCATACCCCGAAGATAACGTCTGCATTGATAAACATGTCAATATTGTCATTAATTGTTCAACGCTTAAATATACACATATTCACTTGCAAATTACTCACTGTGGTTTTAATTATATAAAAGTTTTAATTATATAATAATAATGTTAATAATATTATTAACATTTATTGCTTTGACGTTTTTAGTATATTATGCAACAAGTGCGGTAAACGGCATTTGACTCACGTGTTTGACACGAGCAGAGCGAGTCTTTAATAAACGAGTGAGTTAAAAAGTTTACCGAACGTGTTGCATACTATACTTTTTCTACGACCGTTAGTTTTTGGGTACATTTTTGCAAAACCGTCAGAATTGACAAACGTCAAAATTCAAATCGTGGGAAATATCTACGAAGACATCCGATTGCTCCAAAATCCGAGCGGTAAAATTCCGGAAATGTCCGAAGTGGCTTGGATTCATGGGAATCGAAACTGTGTGGTAAAGTGACGCTTCCCGCACGCTAGATCGGTGGGTAATTAGGTGTTTCACAGACGGGAGTAGAAAAATGGATTTTCAATTCCAAGCAATTAATAAACGATAAGTGCTAATGGAATTTCAAAGAATTTCGCAATGGAGGGTGAAAAATTTAGAGATCAAAATAGGCCAACCGTGTATTTGGAGAAAACGTGGTTCGACACTCTCGACACTGTAAAAAGAGGATGGTGTAATAACAGCAACAAGTGTGTACTCGACGTGCCGCTTTCACATGAAAAACGCATAACAATTCATCATGTCATGTCCAAAAATGGTTGGGTGGAAGATGCCTTATTTTTGTCTGCCAAAAACGTTAAAGATTCAAGTGTGGATTACCATGAAAATATGACCGCGGAAATATTTGAGGAACTGGTTGAAACTGTTGCCTAAACTATCGCCAAATACTGTTATTGTGTTGGATAATGCCTCGTATCATTCAGTCAAATTAAAAACATTATAAATACTTCTACAAATAAAGAAGAAATTAAAGAATGTCTGTACGAAAATTATTTATAAATTTAGCGATAGTGCCATAAACGTAATTCGGCAAGAGGTAGCTAAAATATCAGTACAAAAATTGTCTAACTGTGAAAAACGAATAATAAAAGAAGAAATTATTTATCGAGAACGATTAATTGCGGAGTTGATCATTGCACACAGTATCGATAGTGACTTATACTTTATTATTATTATATTTAATATTTTGTATATTAATAATGATGCTATTTAGAAATGTAAAGAAATAGATCGTAATAAATTCTTACTTTGTACTATTTTTTTTATGTACATGTTTCAAAAAAAAGATTGAAAACATACTTATATTCCGCTTGTTAATGTAGGTAGATAAATTTCTAGGACGGTCCTGGAATGGTTACGAGTAAGGATCTGCTAGATGATAAACACTAGGCAAAGTTGATCACGGGGTCGGTTGTAAAAGCACTACATTTCTGGACGAAGTATAACATAAAATTACACTTAATTATAATAATGTCATAAAAACAATGAATAAAGTGAAAATAATTGGAAATTACTTGTGAAATTGTACTTGTAAATTCAAAAACAGCAGCCCGATTATTTTAATTTATTAATTGTGTTTGTGGTCGCAATGCGGATCCAATTATCAAAATTAGACGGAGGCGATCGATCAAAATGAGCGCAGTCCTAGAGTAACATGAACTATAACAAGAAAGACTTCAGGCATTTTAGGTTTCTAGCAAAATACGTGTCGTTGTTTGGTATTTTGCCGCTGATACAGGGAAGAAATTTTAAGCTACCCAAGAGACGATGGGCACTTTGCTACGTTTTGATCCAACTATCTTTTATTTGCGTCTTATCCATACCGTTAGCATTGATTAAAATCGCCATTTTCTTTTCGAGATTGCACTACATCGTTTCCATTACTGGCGAATTAATATGGGGCTGCCTGATTGTCACCTCGTTGGTCAAATCTTACACCAAAAGATACTTGTGGGTGGAGTTGTATCGCAAATTCCAGGTACTCGAAAGTTTCGAATTTTTGAATACGCAAGGATCTCGAGAGAAATATTCGATTCGCACAATGCCGTATGGGCTGGTTTATCACGTCATCACTTTTCTCTGGATCTGTTTGGGGTATGTTTTGTATTCAGATAGCCTGAATCTTATTTATTTTTTTGCGTTTACCCTGAGACTGTACTTCGTTTTCTTCTTATGTACCACCACAACGAGTTTGGTTTCGACGATGGCTGTCAAATATGATAACGTGAAGAATTTTCTGATAGTATCAATGCGTCATTCCGGATTCCATTCGAAGAAGATTATTAAAAAGTCTCAGCACATGTATATCGCAATGACGGAAATTGTGGATATTTTTAACAAATTAATTGGACACCAGTTACTTCTTTTAATGGCATATCAATTAATTGAATTTCTCGCACACTGCAATCTCATTTTTATGTTGAAGGATTTGCTTAGGAAAAAACCTTCGACGCTGCTTACCACACTATGGACGGTGCTGCCAATGGTGGTAAGTATGGTGATTTTTTAAATATCTTTCATATAGGCTTTCCGGTTATAGATTCTACCGCTACATGCGTTGAACAGTTTTGAAGCGGCAAAGAGAAAAGAGCGGGGAATGATACCAGTTTGTTATACCATTCAAAAGCGATTTGAAAACGCAAAAGATGAACAGTATCACGACCTTCAAAATCTAGCTAAATTGGTCCACAGCAGAATTCCCAGAATTGTTGCAGCCGATTTTTTCGAATTGAACAGTTCAGAAATGTTTTCGCTTATAAACGTCGGGGCAATGTATTTTATTTTAATTGCACAGATGTACAACATAAAGTGTTAACTCTCCTAAACTCTAGAAGTCTAGAAAAACGTCTAGTATAATTTAATAAAATATAACACCTATCAAAATACATAATTTAAAACAGAAATTCGTCCTAATTTATGATATTGGAAAGTAAGATGCAATAAATATATTTTTTTGAGATTTAGTTTTGGTAACGAGCGAGTGTCCTATATTAACATGTTTTACACATAGAATAATTCAATTCAATGATGCGTTTCACTAATACAGACACATAGAATAAATTCAAATTCAATTATGCGTTTCACAAACACTGTTTGGGGAGACTGCTAGAATCATTTGCCCATTGCCGACTTCCGTCCAGGATTTTCGCTTCATAAAAAACCGGCATCCCCCCGCTTCCAGCACGGACCATCCTGGCCCATCCGGCCTCCATACTGGCGTGAACGGTTAAAACAGCGGGGCCGGCGGGCCTTTTACACTTAAAACAAACACCAAACACTGCCGAAACAGAGTCACACAAATTGAAGACCGATACCAAGGTTTTTCGAACGAATACATCGGATTCTGCTAGGAGCGAACGGAGGTTAAACCGCCGCGTGCTCCACCACAGAATCACACATAGAATAATTCAAATCAATTCAATTATGCGATTCACAAAAAAAGTTGGGCCCGACTGCTAGGATCATTCGCCCATTGCCGACTTCCGTCGAGGATCTTCGCTTTTGGTTATGGACCAACACGTACAAAGAAGACATATAACCAATATTTGCTCAACTAGCAAAAAACAACTTTGACCGATACCAAAAAAAAACCGACACCCCCCGCTTCCGCCGCTGACCATCCGGGCCCATCCGGCCTCCATACCGGCGTGAACGGGGAAAAACGAAGGGATCGGCGACGATTATCACTTTACGACGTTCACAAAACACTGAAAACACTAAATCCATTCAGTGGAGACCGATTTCAAAATTTTTGGACGATTACAAAGGATTCTGTAGGGAACGAACGGAGGTTAAACCACCACAGAATCTCCACATAGAATAAAAAAGAATTATGTAAATATCTCTTCTTTCTTCCTAAAACTTAAGTCCTCCTGAATGGCTGCCCAATTTCAAACGCAAAGTGAAAAAGCAATTTTCGATCTAACCTCGAAATTTCACAGTGGGTACCATTTTCATAGCAAACAATTTGTATTTATTTATTGCCTTTCATAGCCACAAATATAATTTTTTTATTGAAGATACTTGTCTACCAATGGAAAACGCATCGAATTCCAAAACATGGAATGGTTCAAGTATAGAGGAAATTTGTAAAGGAAAAGGACGCTGGTCATTTGCTGTGAGTCCTATAACCGTTTCAAAGTACCATTGTGTTTTATACGATGTTGCAACGGTCAATTTGAAAGATCCTCCAAAACCCCATTGCAACTTTCAACCTAAACATTGGGATGATGATCATGTTCGAATGCCTTATTCAAGAAGTAATCTATTTCCCGTTAAAGAGGTTGGTTTTCAAATAATGTGTTAAACAGATATTTGTTGCTAAACTTTACTTGAGTTTCATTGGTGCTGTCAACATTTGCTGTATCATCTTATTTTTAGGGTAATACAGAGACTGCCAAGTCAAGATGGAAACTAATTACAGACTCCCTTTCGAAAACTATCACCTCAGCGGAGCAGCTTGAAAACTCAATCCATTCTTATAATGTTAACCTACCTCGATTTTCAGCACTACATTATTTTTTTTATGAGGTAATGTTTATATAAAACTGGAAGTTTTATGTAAACCCATTAGATTTTTTAGGTATGTAGTGAAGACGAAAGAGACTTATTCTTTTCTAGTTTGCTACCAAAAATCATTACACTAGCATTGAGTTTGTCAGAAATTGTACCTGGAAGTTTACCTATACTGAAGCAAAATTATAATAGATCAGTTAGCCTCTCTCAGTTACAAATAGGTTGTCTACTAGCCAATGCATTCTTGTGTACTTTTCCTTGGAAAAAAAGAGATCCTACAAGTCCAGGTGTTCCTGGGGTTAACTTCATTAGGTAAAAACTAAACAATCAAAATCATATGTTAAAACTGCTAATGGAGAACAGTAGTGTATATCCTGATGAAAAATGGACTTTACAGGTTGTTTTCTGCAAATGATAGATTGGAAAGACAGAAATGTGTAGCTGAGAAAATAAGATGCTTATGTAATTATTTTAAAAGGATAACCGAAAAAGGTATAATGTTTAAAATTATATTTGGGTAAAGAACATAAAACATTATAATTTGATAATGATGTCTTTTTGTAGAGCCTGTTGGTGTAATTACTTTTGAAAGAAAATTTATTCCTAGAAGTGAAATGCCACGCTGGGATACTGCTGAAAATAATTTAGGAAATACGAAAATACATATATGCAGTACAGGTACAATAGAGAATGATGGATTAGGATTTTTGCAGGTTGATTTTGCAAATAAGTAAGTTTTGTTAAATTATGCATTAATGATACTGCCAGTTTTGTTACTTTGGTTGATGTTTTGGGTGTTTTTTGGTAATATGTTATTCATTCATTCTTTAGAAACATCGGAGGTGGAGTTTTAGGTTATGGGTGTGTGCAAGAAGAAATAAGATTTGTTATATGCCCTGAGTTAATTGTAAGCAGATTGTTTGTTGAACAGTTAGGAAGTGGAGAGGCTGTGATTATAACAGGTAAAAATTAATCATTATTAATAGACAATTAGAAAATCAGATAGGGTTTAATTTTCAGGAGCTGAAAGGTACAATGACTATTTGGGTTATGGAGACACATTTGTGTGGAGTAAAAATATCATTGACGATGTACCATTCGATATATATGGTAGGCGAAGAACGTCAATTTGTGTAATAGATGCAACCAGATTTCATAAACCTCAGGACCAGTTCCACAGCTCATTAATTTTAAAGGAGCTGAATAAGGTATATTTCCAACATTTAATGGTTGGTGGTGAGTAATGAACTGATAATTTCCAGGCATATGTTGGCTTTAGTTCTAGAGAAAAGGAAAACCTGGCGCCAGTAGCTACTGGAAATTGGGGTTGTGGAGCTTTTAGGGGTAGCAAGAAACTCAAAACTCTTATTCAATTGATGGCCTGCACAGCTGCAGGTAGAGATCTGGTATATTACTCATTTGGAGATGAAGAGTTAAGAGAAGATTTTTCTAACATGTACCTGTTTTTAGCAGCTAATAAGATAAGTATAGGTAGGTCTCATATTCGAAGTTAACATTAATTTTTTAAAGACAGACATATTTATGTAATTTGAAACCTTTGTGATAATTGCAACTTTGTTGTATTCCAGGGCAACTCTGGAGATTTCTATGCCAATTTTCCACCAAATCTTTAAAAGAAGAGCAGTTGTACTCATTTATCCAACAATCTTACTTTGATGTGAAGAAGCAGCCATCCATAAAGAGCTTTCTTATCAAAAGTGATAAATTGAAATCAAATATGCCTTCATCTATTGAAAAATCAAAATGGTCACCAAAAGTAAACTCAGGCAGTTTTAAAGCTAGATCTCCTAAGAAATGCAAAAGGGAAGAAGAGGCAATGGAAATAGTGGATGAATCTTCATCCTCTGAAGATATTATTCCTTCCAGTCAGCCCAGCCAAGAAAAGTATAAAAAAATAATTAAAGCTAAACCCAGAATTTCGCCTAGTGATGTGATGACTGATATAACGCAATTATTTGATATATTAGATGGTAATGCGAATCGGAATCTTGATAAAATGGATGAGGCAGGATCATTGTTATCAGAATTAGACAAATACAAAAGAAACTCTGGCAAACTTGAGACGAAATTAACCGCTAAGGTTGATGGTCTAGAGGAAGTTATTGTCATAAAAAATGAAGAACCAATTGAAAAAGTGGATAATGTCACCCGAGAAAATTCATTAATAGAGCTAAAAAATAAGAAAGAAAAGAAAATAACAGACTATTTTATAACAAACAACAAACCCTAACCCAATATTTGTTTATTGTCTTTTTAAAACTTTTTCTGAAGTAATGTATCAAATTTTATATTTATATTGTTTCTTCATGTCATTGTAATTAATTATTTATTAAAATATACCAATACTTCTAAGTGTTACATAACCTAACATATTTTTTTTATTAACACAGGTATATTTTATTGAGTTGTATACACAGACCCAACCAAATCTTAGCGGTAGCCGGTCCTGCGTTTTAAGGAATAATTTCAACCTAAAAAGAAAATAATTACGATTTTGGGTCAGTTCACAACTAATGAAACATTTTAAAGAGCACAACGGCTTAAAAAACAATAAATTTACATAGAGGAAAAAATAAAATTCCGGCTCCTTATAATAAAATAAATGTTGCGCCAAGTCGGTCCTGTCTTTGGATTGACCTGCAATTAGCATTCGGGCGCTGTTGCAGTTTGCAAATAAATAATTTTCCTGAGTTAGAACGGTAAAACTACGCTTATAAATACGCTTACAGCGTTAATTTGAGCATTTTGTAAAGGGACTCTAGTTTGCTAACTAATTAGTAGTAATAGCATAGTCTAACCTCGCTGAAAAAATACTTACAAACCGAAATAACAAAATCGATCTGGCAACACAGCCCAACGTAGAGGAAAAACCATTTAAGATAGAGTGATGTTTCTCGGACGATGTCGAAAGGAGCGGAACTAATTTTATGGCGACGTTTTTTTTTTAAATGGGAAATGAGTGTAGTATCAGCTGTCCCGAAATGTGAATTGTGACAATTCGCGGAATAGTTGGTTATTTAAATTTTGTGAATATTAAATAATAGAACTCTGCGGCGTTTGATTAATTGATCGGTCTCTAGAAAACGGTAGTGAAATGGCCTAACTGCTAGTACGAGGGGTAAATCGATCTTTTTTCTGATTAAGTATGGTAATTATAGCGAAATTATAAAAATATCAAACTACTTTTATCGTAATTTATACATCTTAGTTATTTTTCGATTGTCTATTTAAACATATACGTCTATTATTATTAGGATCCGCATTTGTTTACAATGCTATTCCAAATTATTAGCGTTCGATTTAATGCAAAATAAAAAAACAAACACTGCTATGAAAATTTATTCGCGAGTTTTGATTTCAACATCTGCGTGATTCATCGTTTATGCACAAATAGTTTTAGATTAATGTTATTTGCAAGAATACCCAAAGTAATAAACGCATTTTGTCTATTATTTGAGAAGCATTAACTTTTAAAATGCGATCGGGCTGAAACTGAGCGGAATATTTATAATATTACATCTTGGTCACCACCCCGTGTAAATATAAAGTTTGTTTATTAATTATATTTTATGCTATTTGTCAATGTCCAAATTAGCAAAAACCTGCGCTTTTATATTACAAAATTAAAATTGTTATTTTTAAAATGGCCTTTAAAAAAAGTGGGCTGATGCGAGCGCTTTAAATTATTTAATATGCACGTTCTATTCTAAGGCAATATTTTCAACAATGACCATAAATGCGCAGGGCAAACTTTGTATAATTTGGTAATTGCGGAAAAGAATAAAGATTAAAATTCTTTTTCACATTTCGTACGATTGATACGGTTGAATTTTTTAAAATTTTATTATCCTTCAACTTGTTTTTTAAGGCATGCAATCTGAAGGTTTTCTTCACTAAAACAAATAATATTTAAAATAAGAGCGAGGAACAAATAAAAAAAAATGGTAGCGGCATTTTCAAAATTGCTAAAAGAGAATTTTAATCGATTTTTTAAAGACAAGATCATTTACAAATGTTTAACACCTTATTGGCTGTGCTTAAATTTGATTTTTTTATTTTTTTAATGTATAATTACGTAAGTATGTTTAATTAATTTTTTAGTTTATGTTACCCTTTTATAATTTATAGACATTTACTTTATTTATTTATTTTTATTATTTTGTTTTATATACGTATTTATAAAACTCTATTTTGTATGCTTTAACTGATTTTTGACTTTTCGACGACGCGCTGTACCATCCGATTAGTTACTGTTACATAAGGTATTAAAAAAAAACTGGTTTTAAAGTAAAATCAAATTATAAATGATTAGGGGAGTTTTTCAAAAATTATGGTATAGTTTATGTATATAATAGTATATAAAATTATTAAACATTTGTTGTAGAATTGACGGTCAAGTTTAAAATATCAACTCGCATAGATCCTATTTGTGGGACACCATATATATATTCATTAAAATGAAAAATCTCTTTAGACGTTCATAAGCCTGTCCTCTGATGAACTTGGTGCGCAAACTGCGAGGTAGCGGTATATCCGCAGCTGTTGCCTCAACCTCAGATTCAACGATGGGAGATCCATCTTCAACGCATACGCAACTTGGTCTTATGCACCTTAAGAAGTTGTTCTTGGAATACATGCATCCATCACACCCTCTAACGGATAAAGAAAAGGATGACAAGTTGTACAACATGCTGCCTCTTTTTTGCAAAGTGAGTGACACGCAACATATCAAAAATTGTAATAATCTGTATTACTAAAAATCAGCTAGAAAATTTGTTTATGGATTATTAGTCTTCCAACTCCAAAATAATTTTGACACTGGCAAGTTATTACCAAAAATGAGCTAAAAACATTTCTTTATGGATTAACAGTCCTCATATTCCAAAATTATTTTGAGACTAGCCACTTATTTTGCTTTTAGGTATTTGGCTCAAGTCCAACGAGCGACATGAATGAAAAATTTTGGGATATCCTATCGTTTTGCCACCAGGTCTCGCTCCTGATGGCATCTGAGATTAGGAAACGTGCCTCCAACCAAAGCACAGAGGCAGCCAGTGCCGCCATTGCCAAATTTTTGGAAATAGAAAACTGCGAGGAATCAAGTAACGGTTGGATGCTTCTGTCCACCCTCAATTTGTTGGCCGCTGGGGATGGAACTTTAGTACAGGTTTATAAGTCATTTAATATTTCGTTGAGTACCCCATTACGTCACCGTTCAGGCTTCATCCACTTTAACGCATTCTCTCAGTATTCTAGAAATTATTTATTGAAAAATTAGATTTATTACGTATTGTTATTGACTTTTATCTTTGATTTTTTAAATAGTTATTTTAGTGTCCCTCAAAAACCTATACGCCTTAAAAATTCATCGAACGGATACACCACAAACCGGCTGAAATACAGCAGAAGTACTCATACTTTTAAAAGATTAGTGAAATTCATAAAGTTTTATTTTAAAAGTTTGCAAATTTTAATAGTTTTAAAAATATTTTAAATTTTTGAATTTCTCTTTTTATAAAGTTGGTCTCTGAGTTAAAAAGTAAAAAGTAAAAGTAAACTATACTTTTTATTGGCCCAGCTTATATTTTTATTTTGTGTTATTATAATAATATTTAAGGCAAAATACCAATACTAAATTTGTCCTTCCCAAATAATAATTCTATTTTTTGAAAATTTCTGAGGATTCTCTATTTTTGAAGAACATTGATTAGATCCACTTTTATTCCTTCCACAATTTATCGCCAAATGGGAAGGGGGTGGCTCTGAATTCATGATTATTATAAGGACGGTTTAGGTTTTTGCTTTGTTGCCTCCAGTAGTGTTTTAAGGCATTTTCACATTTAGATATAATGCCATTGATTTGAGCTTTGCTCTAAACGGTAATATTTTAGGTGATGACCGAAGTGTCTGTACCGTCGACATTGGTAAAATGTCTTTACCTATTCTTCGATTTGCCAGAAATTTGCGAAAATGAATCAAACAGTAAAGACAATAATAGTGACTTCACGCCAATGGAAAGGAGAATACTTTTACAAAAAATCTTTGTGCAGGTAGCAATTCTAATCGAATCAATTCGCTTAGTCATTGTAGAGGTGTGCCCGCTGGCAGTGGCATGATAACTCCCGCACTTTTTTTTTAGCTTTTGGTTAGGCTGTGCAGTCATCGCATACCTGCAGAAGAACTGGCCAAAAAAGACGACTTGACGTTGCTGTTTTCCGCAATAACTTCGTGGTGTCCATCTTACAATGTAATGTGGCGGAAAAGTGCGGCGGAAGTTTTGATGACATTATCGAGACACGGTCTCACGCCACCGGTCGTAGGTTACATTCATTGTAAGTTATCGCCGTGATTGGTGTCTCGGTGAGACCATTGAATATAATTTACACTTCAGCCAAGTCCTGTGTAGCCCTGTGCATAGAAAACATGAAAAAAGTACCTGAATTGGCCCCGTTGGAACTCGTCGAAATGTTCGTTACTGTTTTTTGTTTTTTAAAAGACTCGAGTGAAGTGTCGTCGGTTTTGTTGGACGACTTTCGGCAAGCCCAGGGATACGTTTTCCTCTCAGATTTTCTATTAAAGTGAGTACAGATTTATGAAAATGTTATTGTATCAATCTTTTGAAGCTTGTGGTGTTGTATATCATTCATTTTTAGAATCAAATAATTTCCCTATAGTGATACCTATTTCTTAATCTTTTCGATATAAATGGCTATGAGTCCAGCTTATGCAATAATAATTAATGTATGTAACGCTCAAAAACAACTGTCACAGTAAACGGTTATTTTAAACCACTTTGGCTATTGCTTTAACTTATTTTCTTAGTTTCTAGTCTTGAATATAGTTAAATATTCTCAGCATCCCTCAGAGTTCAGCAGCTCTGTCGCGTATTTTGAAATGATTTCCTCGGAGATTTTTGTTAAAATCTGCTCAAAGCTGTAGCCCGATTCACGGCTATATTAATCATGTCATTATCGAGTACTCTTATCCTTTTTTGCGATTTGTCGGATTTTAACCGGCCACACTTCCTTTTAGGCTAGAAAATGAAAAATCCAGCGAGTCCCAAGAATCCGTAAGAAATCTTGTGCTAATGATAACTTCATTGTGCATGTGTGGATATATCGAATTGAAACCGTCGCAGGCATCCACGGGATCGCTGTTTCAAATGCAGGGTTTTATCCTCCCGCAGCCTTCGGGCCGAGGAACCAGCGTCAGGAACATTCAAGCATTCCACGTGCTTCAGAACACGTTTATCAAATCTAGCTCGACGTTGGTTTGTAACACCATTTTGGACGCGATATCGAGCATATATCATTCTGATAATGCCAATTATTTCATTTTGGAAAATCAGAACACCCTGAGTCAGTTCATTGAACGGATACACTACAAACCGGCTGAAATACAGCAGAAGTCGTTCGAGTTGGTGGAGTTCTTGGTATTTTCCTTGAACTTCGTGCCGTGCAAGGAGCTGATATCAATGTCGATTTTTTTAAAGTCGCACAGCATAAACTATGTGGAGTGCAGCATATTGTGTATGAGGACGCTTCTCGATATTCTCAAACATAATGTTCTCTTCAAAGACGTTTACCGCGAGGTCGGGCTGTTGGAAGTGTTCGTGACCCTACTGACGCGCTACGGAAACCTTTTAGAAAACAAAAAATCGGCCAAGCTTAAGAGTAAAGAGAGTCCGTTAGTTCCATCGCAAGAACGGCTGGGCGGTTTGGTCACCGAGGCCATAACGCTACTTGTCAATGGCAACGCCGCAAATGCTAACGTTCTCAGAGAATGCGGTGGTGCCAAATGCGTGCATGGTCTAGTTCAGTACGTTGAATGTCGATACGCCATTTTGGGGATCATTAAAGAGTTGGTGTTGGCTGGCGGGGGAGACGAAGACATGGGCCATCTTTTGAACACTTTACATTCAGCACCGAGAACGGAATTAGATTTAAAGATAGATATTTTAGAGGCGTTACGATTATGTCTTAAGGAATCGCACCGCACTAGGACTGTGTTCAGAAAGGTTAGTATCAGCGTATTTGACAGAAACTAGGAGATGTATCCTTGCTTAGTTTGACCATATTTTAACTTGGCACTGCGTGATGAAATGAAATTAAGATTCCAAATCAACAAGTGGAGCTGGAATCTTAATTATTTTTTCGTTTAGTCCATAATTAATGAGGTTGGAGGTCTTAAATCTTTTATAACAAGTCAGTCAAAGGATTCGGAATCTTAATTATTTTGTTCCTTGAGTCTATAATCAATGAGGTCGGAGGTCTGAAGTGTTAATTTAAAATGTGGCATAAACCAAAATATCTGTTTTTACCCTTTATGAGTAATCTTTAGTAATAAATAGACGTTGGCAATGGCGGGCTGTGGCAACTAAATACTTTTGTTTTGAAATGTAAAAATGTAAATTTGACCTACTTTGTTGGTATATACCGAATGCAGCCGCAAAGTTGACTTATCAATTGTTAAAAGAGAAGCCGAATAATCACAAAGAGGCGTATTTGCTTTTGATTATTGTTTGAAAAGAAAGCAAATTTAACGTTGTGATTAGAACGACCGTTAATTATAGGTACGTGCGTCAAAGCATGAGCAAACAGACCAATCTTCATGTATTTCAGTCAACGGTTCATGGACATTAAATTTCGTTGAAGAAAACTTGAAAAGCGACCAAAGCAATCACAAGGCAAATTCAATTTTTCCACAGTTGTGCTATTGAAAAGACAAGAACAAAATCCCTGTTTTTTTCAATCAACCATTCTCATCATCATTTCTTGTTTACCTACCTTACTAGGCCATAGGGTGGTGTTGTTAAAAACGTGTTTTAAAACGTGTCCCTCATTTTTGGTACCACGTTGCTAACATTGTCCATAATCATCGCCAGAGGCCAAGTTTTAATACTAAACTTCGACATCGGCGGCGCCTACATCGGTATATGTTTTTTTTTTAAGGCAAATGGATTTGTGTATGTAACAAGTGTCTTGGTGGCACTCGAAGGCAGACTGTACCGGAAAGAAACAAATCCGCAAGTTTTGAATTTACTATATCTAGTTTTTCAAACGATATGCATTGCGATGAGATTCGAACCCGCAAACGCCAAGTTTTTCTACCACGAAATATGCCGGACTAGCCTGTGCGATACCTTGAGGTTGCTCGGGTGTTTCTCAGCTCAGAAAGTCGATAGCATCAGCGAAAGCGATTTTGAGCCGTCCTCTAACAGTTGCCATGAGGTTTTCCACAAGCTTTTTATAGGGTCGGTTACAAATCCCATGTAAGTGTAACACATTATCGGGCGGTGTATCAAATCTGAACATTGGCACCGTTTACTCCTTTAGTATCACCGATGATATTTCGCCCTCGTTGACCTACACAACTATCATCTACAGGCTGTTATACGATTTGGCATTAGATCTCTTTGACAGGCAAAACGTAAATGGCAATATTTTTTCAATCAAATCGCCGCCACTATCAAGAGAATCAAGCGATTGTCAGGTAAGTATCGGATCTGCAGATGTGGTTTTTCATTTGTGACGCTAATGCTGTCTTTTGAAATTGTACATTTTTAGGCAACAGTGAATAATAATATAAAGGATAACAAACGTTCAAATATAAACAGTTTAAATTTAAGTCCTCCATCTCCGGATCCCATTATAGTTCATCCTGGTGTTGTGATCTGTATGTTGCAACTCCTGCCGTGTATCAATGTAAGTTTTTTTTGTGCACAAGTTTACCGTTACACTCTACATGGATTGGCGTACGTTTTCAGGACGAAAATTACGAAACATACGTGAACCTTCAGCAATACATAGCGGAAGTTATTAAATCTTTAGTGAGAAACGAACGTAATCAGCAAATTATGTGCGACAAAAACTTCGTGAGCTACCTTTTAGAGATAGGAGCGGCCCCTTTGCAGAACGAAAATCATCCAATACACAATCCTTTTCAATACATGCTGGAGAGGCTTGCTGCCCAAGCCTTGGAGCCAATCGACTTGAGAACTTTTCTGCGGTACTTGTTAATAAAAAAAAAGAACTTGAAAGTAGTTTTATCTTACAGATTGGGAAACCCTCTTTGTTGCCTGCCTTTGGGATCTACCGAGCAGGGTGGGGGTCCCGTGCCTTTGACGCGCGTCAAAACTATAGTGTCCATGACCACCCCCAAGGATTTCCGAGCACAATCTTCTTACACCCTTCCACCGTTTGTCGAATTTGATATGTCCGCCGAAGGCTTCGGTTGCCTCTATTTGCCGAGTATAGCGCCACAATCGCCCAACGGTCCTAGCGTGGTCTCTACCGTAGATAGCAGCGTATTGGGTGGAATAGGTTCTGGTAAGATTTTGCAGTGAGTAGGCGTGGGAGAATTAAATTTTGCCGTTTGTATTTTTTAGGCGATCGTCTATTTCCACCCCAAACTGGCCTAAGCTACTCGAGCTGGATATGTGTCGAAAAATTTTCCGATCCCAGAACTGATCCACATTCAGTGCATTTGCTTACGCTCGTGAGAAGCTACAATGGCGGAAGGGAAGACCACTTGGTTTGCTTGTCCATCGTGCTGTCAACTAGAGACAAGGCTTTCATTATATCCACCCAGGAAACCAGAGTTCCAAATAGTAGGTGTGGCGGGATCTTGTGCTATACCTTATTGCTTTGTTAATCGGGTTTTTTAAAAATTAATGATTTTACTAAAATTTGGTTAGCTTGGTTTAGAGAGACTGAGACTGAGATGACTGTAAATGACTTGACAAGGGAATCTCCAGACAAAATTTAGCAATGCTGCAATATAAATTGGATATTTAGGTAGAGTCGGGAGGCTGTTAAATATCTCTGTCATCAGTTAAGCACCTTGTAGGGGAATCAGTAAAATAAAAAGCTCAATTTAATATTGATAGGGTCTGCTGCTTGGTTCGCTTTTGCAGTACCATAGTAGAATTATAACACAAAACAAAAAGACGAATTTCAAAAAAGTGTGAAATATTACTTACAGATATAAATGGTGACTGGGAACCGGACGGCACGGGAGAACACGGCGCAAGAGTTTGGTGCCCCGATATCCTTCAGGAAGGTCAGTGGCATTACGTGGTGGTGGTTTTGAACAGAGCTGTTCTAAAAAACTCCTCGTTTTCCCTATACCTCGACGGGCAACAGATTCACACGCAAAAAATGCATTATATATCTCAAAATCCTGGAGGTCCCGCCGCTAATTTGAATGTGGCTACCTCCGTTTACGGTTACATTGGAACTCCACCCGCATGGAGAAGGTATTCTAGGTTGTGCTGGAAGCAAGGTCCGTGTCATTTGTTTGAAGAGGTAGGTTCTATTGAAATTACAAGATTAAATGGTTATTAAGGTGGGCGTATGACTCCCGTAAATGTTTTAGGTCTTGACTCCAGCAACGGTCGCACAGATGTACCAACTGGGTCCCCATTATATGGGCTCGTTCTTAGCACCAAATTTCTCCACCGTCGATCCTGTTCAGCTTGTATCAGAAGAGAAAGTTGTTTTCGGATTAAATGCCAAGGCCGTGTCGCAGCTAACTTTGAATAAAATTCGAAAAGTGTACAGCAGAACCGACAACAAGTCAATAGGTAGTTTATCACAAAAAGTAAAAAACATATCGATGACGACATTCTGATATTTTAAATTCAGCTAAACAGTTGGGGATGTCGAGTCACGAGAGCGCAACCCCTATCAGAATCCTTCATAACTCCGCGGGTCACTTGGCTGGCTCTGCTAGAACCCTTGGAGGTGTTGTTATCGGTTATCTGGGTAAGCAGACCAAAATTACTGGCTTGCTTTGTGACATGTTTGTGAATTCTTCTTCAGGCGTACGAGTGTTTTGTCCCCGGCCGGTAGCCACCACCGTCGACACGGTAGGTGGATGCTCGGTTCTCTTGGGGCTCATAGCCATGGCGCAAGATGTGGAGAGCCTTTACGCAGGGGTAAAGGCTTTGGTTTGCGTCGTGCGCAGCAACAAAGTGGCGCAAGCGGAAATGGACCGCCGGCGCAGCTATCAGACGTTGGCCATGCTGTTGAGACGTAAAAGACATTTGCTCAATTCGCATATTTTGCATTTAGCGTTCGGATTAGTCGGAACGGTGGACAGCGGCAGGTAGAACTCATTTCCGCACCACAGTTCGACAATTGTTGTTGGTTAAATATTTAGGGAGTCGTCTGCCATACCTAACCGACTGGCATTCCAAGATTTGCTCTGCGATCTCGAAGTGTGGCACGAAGCTCCCGGCGACCTCTTGCGATCACACCTGGAGCACCTTTACGAATTGGCCTCCGAATCCAATGAAAAACGGCACAATACTTGGGTGATGAGGGATTTAAATTTGGTCGAAAAACTTCTCTACGTTATTTTGGAAGTAAAACATCCGGCCACCAGGCAGGTAAGATCGACTGCCTTGTGATGATGTTTCTGCCAGCTTGAAAATTTAAAACGCAGGTCCTTTTCTCTCTTCTGACTGTGCTGCTGGGAAGTCAGCCCAGAGCTAATGATTTATTGTTATTTGGTCAATTTATAACGTCGACGATACCCCATTTGACTCCAGTTAACGAAAGAAGCATCATCCTTAAAGAAGGCGACGCCGAATCAGAAAATATTTTGCTAAGAAATAAGTAGGGTTCAAATCAAGTCAAAATTGCGTTTGCCCAACATTTGTTTTCAGGTGTTTGACCATTTTACACTCTCTAGTGTTTTCGAGCCGAAACCAAGTCGGTGAAGAAATTTCTAAAGTGCTGGGTTTTGATTGGCTGTTACTACTAATGCAACCCAATCTGCACTCTACCACCATAGTGTGGGCGTTTCGCATTTTGGTAGCAGTATGTTCGAGTCCCTTCTTAATATCGCGATTCCGAGAAGGTTCGAGCAATGGAGGGTGGCTTCGACACATCGAACAAGTAACCCACAACAAAATGGCGGTCGTTCTTGGCTGTTCGATCAACGGTTCCATCATAGGGAACAACGAGTTAAGATCGGAAGCCGTGCACATTCCGGGTTTCCAATACTTGAAGTGGTTTCTCAACGCGCACCTGGACGTTCCGGAACTTTACTTTCTCTTGACAGCCCTAATGCTGGGTCAGCCGGCGAAACTATTACCGGCCGACACCAAGTTTGATTTGGATACGGTGTGGGCGTTCCTGTGGGGAGGCTCGATAAACAACCAGCCTATAAACAGTGTCGTTCCCAGGATTAACCTATGCTCTGAGGCGGTGGTGGTGCTGCTGGACATGATGAGGCACTTGGTGCACTCGGATCCGTCCGCCTTTCCGGAGTGGTTACAAGACCATGCTGTCTCGATAATACAGGTACTAATCTCTTGGACAAGAAAAAAAAAAGGCTCAATTTGGTGCAGAATTGAAAGTTTACGAAACCTCCCATTTTCAGGTTCTCTTTCAGTTATATCACAATATGCCTGAATTTATGCCGATATTTATGTCGTCCGAGGTGCTGACGGCCTTGGCCAGTGTTCTTTTTCCGTTGCCCAATCATTCGGAAGACAGCCCGACTAGTAGTGGCGCGTCTACACCGGGTGGCGATGAGGCATGCGAAAATTTGGTGTTAATCTCGAATAGCCCGTCGGACGACGAGCCTTTAACGATTCACCCTGCCAGACAGTATATCGTGGATTTTATCAGGGTGATTGCGGTCGATGCTTTGAGTTTGTCGAATACCGGCAAAACTCCGCCTATAATAGACTTGGTTCTCGATGCGTATCCCGAGAATTCGACCAATCATCAGCAGGTCGCGTATCAGACAGAGGTGCAAACAGGTTTTACGACCTTGCCGACTCGCGCTTAATAACAGCGTTTCAGATTTTGGTGACGTTAATGGAACACCTTTTAGCTGCGGATATGCTAGTAGGTGACCAGGCCGCCATACCCATAGTGCCTCTCGCAAACGCGCACATTCAACACGTGGCGCCCAACGTCTTTTATCTTACGGCTCGCATCGTCGATAAGTTGTGGCAGGGGGCGCTCGACAGGGATCCGCACGACGTGTTCGATTTCATCGTTAAACTCATCGGGCAGGCGAAAAGGAGAACCGGGAACTTGAGTTTGGAAAACCTCCATCATTGCCTCAACAGGACTATATTGTATCTGTTATCGAGAAACACAGAATCTATAGCCGATCAAATGTCAGTGTTAGAGGCGCTTCACAAGCTGACCACCAACAGGTATGTTTGCCACCCATTATATATAAGAGGTGAATAGTGATATTTTAAATATGGAAGAAAATCTTGAAAGGTTCTTCGGGCAAGAGACCTTCAAATTTATGGAAATTCCAAATAATTTTTCGTTTATTAGAAGTGACATATAAATTGAACATTAAATGTAATAAAGATATAAAAAAAAAATGAGGCAACGTGAAAAATCCGCAATACGTTTCACAACTATATGCAGGTTTTAAATCTTGCGTGCTATGTTTATATCATGTGCTTTGCTTACTGATTTTTGAATGGCCTTCTAATTAATAAGCAAGTATATCCTGATTGTTTTATTTATTGTTGAAAATAGTGGCCTGTAAACTTTCGTTTGTTTAAATTAATGGTCGCGTTTTGCTATTAGGTTGATAGTATTCGGCGCGGGCAATCACGAATTAGACTTCATAGGATGTCTTACTTATTGCTTGCTCCAATTAACGGCCGATATGCGAATAGCGTTAGAAACTGGCGCGTCGGGTCCGAAAACTACGTGGCACGTAAACCCTGGCCAAGACGTCGAATCCCGTGACGAATTTCTGAATTCGCACCAGGGTCGAAATCTGATGGCAACTGCGGCATCGCGCGTCTGGGAAGAACTATACGTTTGCAAGAAACCTGCGATCGAAGAAGTTTTTAAGGTAACATTAGCGCCGCCGGGCTCCTGTTCTAAAGCACCAGATCTGTCCACGGTTCGAGAACAAGTCTACGATGCGGCGATTAGGCTTTGGTTGAATTATATCGATGCCGAACGTAAGGCCACCTACAGGGTGCCCTGGGAACTTCACAATCAGATCCAGTCGAAAATCCACAAGGTCACCGGCGGTTTAACGCGCTTGGCAAGCCGAACGAAGGTCAGGAAAGAGGAAACTACCAGGATGAGAATAAGAATGGGGCGGAGGCAGGCTTTGGAGTGGATGGCCAGCCATATCGGCCTAATAAAAGATCTGATAGAGTTGAAACGGCAACAACACCAGAACACTACGCACCACACTCAGAGGTACGTCCATCAGGAGTGGCTACAAACGGAAGTCGAACTCACTAGGGAGAGGGGGTTGTGGGGTCCTCCGGTGCCGTGCCCTTTGGACAAATGGATGTTAGACATGACCGAAGGTCCCCACAGGATGAGAAAGAAAGCGATGAAGAACGAACTGTTTTATGTGCATTACCCGTATAGGTCTGATTATGAAAGAGGTTTGTTATGTCAAATACACATAGTTTTCCCTCATTATATGATTTTTTTTATAAAGGGCTGCTAAAGTATAAGGTGGCAACAAGCTACCACAGCAAAGACTATTACCAGGCACTGCAGCTCAGGCAACATAATGGAGTAAGCGGTTTAACAGCCGATCCGCCGGAAAGATCGGATAGCGTTACCGATGAACCTTCACCGTTGCCCTATACCGCCCTTCCTCATCTAGCGAGGCTGACGTCGGATAATGAAGATCAACCCGAAGAAAACGATAACGAGGAGGAACAACCGTCGACTCCGCCAGACAATCAGACGCTTTTACGGTTACTCGAGCATAATGAAAAAATTAGTTACATGTTCAGATGTGCCCGAATCCAAGGATTAGACACCACGGAAGGTTTGTTGCTGTTCGGACAGGAACACTGCTACGTCGTAGATGGATTTACGTTGCTGAAAAACCGGGAAATTCGAGACATTGATGGGGTGCCTAACAACGCCCATGAATACGAACCGATCTTGCCGAATCCTGGGTCGCCGAGACGATCAAGAGCCATGAGACAATGCTCGAAATTCTCTTACGACGATGTACGGGAAGTTCATAAAAGAAGGTAAACCTTACTCTAGTAAAGAAAAAGTAGGATTTTTATTGAATGGAATGATAAATTAGTGTAGTTATATTTTTTATGTGTTGAGTGGTGTCAGTTCAGAAGCGGGAATGCGATTTGTAGATACCTTCTTCAGCCAATGGCCCTGGAGGTATTTTCGGGAGACGGTAGAAATTACTTATTGGCTTTCCCGAGAAAACAAAGAAATAAAGTGTATCAGCGTTTTATGTCGACGGCAACCGGTATCGCGGATAGCGCGCAACAGTCGGTTGCGGGACAAAAAAGAACAGCAAACGTTGAACAAGCTACGAGCTTGCTGAGCAATCTTATTGGGGAAACAAGTGTGACCCAGAGGTTAGTTAATTGAAAAATAAAAGAAGGTATGTATTTAAGACCACCCGAATGCTTTGTTTTAGATGGGTACGAGGGGAAATATCAAATTTTCAATACCTGATGTACCTCAACACTCTAGCCGGTAGATCGTATAACGACTTGATGCAGTACCCTGTTTTCCCGTGGATATTGGCGGATTATGATTCGGAAGATTTGGATCTGACAGACCCTTTAAGTTTTCGAGACTTTACCAAGCCCATGGGTGCTCAGAGTGTGGAAAGATTAGAACAGTTCAGAAAACGGTTTAAAGTAATTTTTCATGGTATCTTTGAGATTAGCATTACCCAAAATATTTTCTAGGAATGGGACGACCCCCACGGTGAAACCCCACCCTATCATTACGGAACTCATTATTCCAGCGCGATGATAGTATGTTCCTACCTCGTGCGGCTGGAACCGTTCACTCAACATTTTCTCAGGCTCCAAGGTGGTCATTTCGACTTGGCTGATCGGATGTTTCATTCCGTAAAAGAAGCTTGGTTGTCGGCTTCGAAGCACAATATGGCCGACGTGAAGGAACTCATTCCGGAGTTCTTTTATTTGCCGGAATTTTTGGAAAATTCCAACCGGTTCGATTTGGGCGTTAAACAAAATGGCGTCGCCTTGGGCGATGTCGTATTGCCACCTTGGGCCAAACAAGATCCGAGAGAATTCATAAGAGCTCACAGGATGGCTTTGGAATGCGATTATGTGTCTCAAAATTTGCACCATTGGATCGATCTTATTTTTGGATACAAACAGCAAGGTCAGACTGCTGTCGATGCCATCAACGTTTTCCACCATTTGTTTTACGAAGGCAATGTTGACATCTACAACATCGACGATCCCCTTAAAAAGGTACTTGGGGGCGCGCTAGATGTTTGTTCTTCTTCACGAAATATATAAAAAAAATTTCAGAATGCCACCATCGGCTTCATCAACAATTTCGGTCAGATACCGAAACAGTTATTCAAAAAACCACATCCGTGTAAAAAAATGGGAGGGGCGGGCAACAGAACTTCCGTTATAGACACTGGGTCGTTAGTTCAGGCGTTCAGCCTTCCCCAGCCGGAAAAATTATTTTTTCACCATCTTGACAATTTGAGGCCTTCTTTGCAGCCTATTAAAGGTATCAATCCATTTTCTACTGTTTGACATTTTTAATTGCATAATTTGCTATTTGCTGTTTCCACTGCGTGAGTTTTACTCTCTTGATTCCCCAGTTTCAATACGTCATATAAACATGTATCAATCAAACACCATTGTGTCGTGACGATTTGTGTGACCTCATTAGTGTTAACATTATTTGTTAAAACCGTAAATATTAGGTGAAGGATAATAGAAAAGCAAGGTTTAACTAACAGCTTACAGATCCGATCTCCCTATCAAACTCGCGGAGTCAATGGGATACGTAAGTAAGACGTATGAAAAATGAAGAACGCAAAAAATAGCGATTTTCTCGAGTTCCTTTGAAATTTGCCCCTTGTGTCACTTTATTGGTTATTAATTGGTTACAACATAATTTTTGTGACATTAATTTAGTTTTTGCCCGTTGTGCTGCTCTGTTTTGTTGACGTCACATGAAAAGTTAGGTTAACCTTGTTTTTCTTAAATTTTCCAGAGGTCAAGGGTCCGGTAGGCCAAATTCTCCATATCGACAAGACTGTATTAGCTGTAGAACAGAATAAGGTTTTAATGCCTCCTTCGTTCAGTAAGTACGTAGCGTGGGGCTTCGCGGATCATTCTATTCGAATAGGCAATTACGACAGCGACAAGGCCATTTTCGTGTCAGAGAGTGTCGAACAAAATATGGGCGAAATTTTGGCGTGCGTGTGCGCGTCGCCGAAAATTATCATAACCGCGGGAACCAGTTCCGTGAGTTTCTCTCAATACTCGGAGCTATGAGCTGAGTTTTTCAATTTTTTTGCCCGTTTTAGGTCGTCACCGTTTGGGAGTATGACGTTAGGAAAAAATCGATCTGCATCAAGCACAATTTGTACGCCCACACGGACGCCGTAACCTGTTTGGCCGTCAGTCCCGCCTATAATGTCATAGTTTCTGGATCGAGAGATTGTTCGGCGATCATATGGGACCTGTCGCGGGGCGTTTTCGTCAGGCAACTTAGAGGTTTGCTTAAAATATCAAATCACGTGTGTGCAAAATGTACTGTTATTTCTGAAACAGAAAAAATGATGAAGCTGCTTGAACATCTAATTTTCATTTATTTCATATTTTTTTATATTCCGAACTTTTGGTTGAAAAAGAATCTCGGTTTATTAAAAAAATCTGATCACACGTATTCAAAATCATTTTTTACTTATTTCTTGTATTATTTCCAACAGGTGCTCCAAATGACAACCTGAGGTTGACCAATTATTTAGTTTCTACAATATGTACCAAGATTTCTACGTATAAAATTTTGATCTACAATTTTAGTCTTTTTTTTTCACAGAAGTTTGCTTTTCAACACAAATGTCCCAATTTAGTTTGTTTAGGTCAACCTTTTTTTTCTTGAATTTTCCAAAAATTCACGAAATCAAAGACAAAAGTTAGTTAATTGATGTGATAATTATTTGTTAATCATTATTGCTTCTACAAATCACATAATTCTCTCGTGGGTTGTTTCTTAATCAAATCAATCATTAAAAATTATGTTTTTGTTTATTTGAGCGTAAGTCTCAAGTTCTATCCAAGTCAATTTTGTAGGTCATGCAGGGCCAATAGCGGCAGTTGCCGTTAACGAACTCACCGGGGATATAGCGACGTGTGCTGCCACCTGGCTCCACGTGTGGAGCATAAACGGGTGCCCTCTGGCGGCGGTTAACACTTGCGTCGGACGCGCCGACCGCATGCAACAAATCCTTTGCGTGGCATTCTCACAGGCGCACGACTGGGACCCCCTAAACGTCATTATGACGGGTTCTACAGATGGCGTGACGAGGGTAGCGCGTCGAGACTCGCATTATTATCGATAGCCCTACACATGTTTTCTTTTAGATGTGGTCTATCGATTACGTCCAAGTGCCCATCGAGGAGGGTTCGGCCACGCCCACTCACAGGATGCAGTCGCCGAAACACAAACCGAATCAGGAAATAACCAACGAACCGGTAAAACCGATTTCTGCGCACCACCGATTGGTGAAGCAGATCCACGTGGCTAGCGACGGAAGCCTCATTAAATCAGGGTCTGAGAGTAGCCTCTCCGAAGATATCACGCATAAACGCACAGTACGTAGATTGACCGGTGCACATAGGCGAATGTGACCTAAATCTCAGTCAAAAATCAAACGCCCATAATTCGTATAAAAAAATTTGGTAAAATTTCACTCGATGGTGTAATTTATAGTGTAATAGTAGTAACAAAACAAAGATTGTGAAAAACGGTGCAATTTGTTACCTATATCACAATAAATTCAAAGATTTCGTTTGAAAGCGGCAATGCGTGGGGGTAGTAACTATTTCTCTGAAGAAAAACTGAAAAATAACTTAAAAAAAAAATCTGTAACTATATTATAATAAAATTGTCGACTTTACTGTCCATAGGGTTATTCTCTTGGAATTTACCTGCCACTAAGTTGACAGCTTTCAAGATTTTTATAAGAAACTTATATGTTATACAGGGTTATTGACGGTGTGTCTTATTAGACGTTTATGGAGAATATCTTAAGGAAAAATCGTGAAATGTAGGTTACTACTGTAAGCGAATATATATGTAAACTATTTTTGGCCATGCGGTGTTGCCGATATACTCGTAAAGTATATCAACTTTTGTTTTTTAATAGAACACATATTATCACATTGTTAGATTCTGTGAAATATTCTGAAACTTTTTTACCTAACATGTACTATACTTATCCTGAACATTTTCGGAGATAAAAAAATACTTTTTAAGAAATATGGTAACCAACCACTCGTAAAATAATAGTTTTTTTCGCAACCCGTACACTTGAGTTTTTGGTTGCGGTTTCCTATTAAATTGCTTTATCATTACTATGATAAAGAAAGCAATTTAATAGTATAAGAATTAACGTACAGGGGCGTTCATAAGATAAGGCCGCCCAGTTGGCAAGATTTAAAAATCCATGTTCGGTGGCATCTAAAAGTATCAAACTATACTCGGTTTTCGAGTTATAAGCAAAAAACTAAAATATTACAATTAAAGCGAAGTTTGTGGTCGGCCATGGTGGCGTTTTTTGTAAAAAAAATTGTCTTTGACATAAATAACCTTAAGATTCCGCTATAAGTGTGTTCAAATGAATAATTGTAACAGTGAAACTGGAACGAAATACATATGCCAACAAAAATTTAATATTCATAGAAACTGTTATACACAAAACTAATGTTAAAGACTAATAAACGGTTTTAAATTGTTTTCAATTACATACAAACAAGATATGCTTGGAATGACCTCCATTTGCTCTAAGACATTCATGAATTGACTACATAACATTAGAAACTGTTGGCTCTTTAAATGTCATTTGGAGCATGTTCTTGAAAAGCCTGTCTGACATGGCGTTCCAAATCTTCTATTGTTTAATTCACTCTTTCTTTTAATAGCGCTCCAAAGGTAGGTATCAACATTATTTGGCGAACCCGGTGCAATGAGCCGGAGCTCCAACAAGTTGGTACCAACATCTGGGAGATGTAACGCTAATGGCAAATTGTCTAAAAAATCTGTAACTACTGTTCGTAAAATATCACTATATTTTTCCTCGTTCAAATTGTCGTTGTAGATATAAATATCTTTTTTATTATCTATCATCAAACAAAACAGTTGGAACTAAATGTATAGTGAAATCACTTTTCTCGTACGTAGGTTTCGGAAATTTACATCAATTCTATTAAACGTTTTCTTAAACACTGGTGACAAATATTGTTCTTGAAACAATTTTTTGACACTCATCATTGCATTGCATTGCATCATTATGTGCTATCTTGTTTTCTTGCTATCTTGCTTTCTCAAATAAATGCAACTTTTAACTATGAAAATGCGAAAAAATGAGAAATCCGAATGCATCTAGAGATGTCAGTTATTTTTTTATAGGAAACGTCATCATGGCCGGCCAGAGCCTGCTACCCAAATGAAATGTGATTGCTTTAATTCGCTTATAATTCGAAAACGAATTAAAATAGATATACAACAGTTTAGTACTTTTAGATATCAAATTAATTGCACATTTACGTACCAATATAAAATATTGGATGTTCCATTTAAAATTTCCACGTAACATGGATTTTTATATCTTGCCAATCGGACCTTATCTTATGAACGCGTTTAGATGTTCAGGTTGCGAAAAAAATATTATTTTATATCGGGTTGTTTGTTGCCAAATATCTTAAAAAGTATTTTTTATCTCCGAAAACGTTAGGTGGATAGGTATGGTACATGTTACATAAAAAGTTCCAAAATCTTTCGCAGAATCTGAAAATGTAATAATATACAAGGAGTTTCGTTTAAAAAACAAAAGTCGATATACATTACGAGTACATCTGGCAACATCGCATGGCCACAATATTTTACGTAGGCAGCTCATAATCGCTTGCACAAGTGACCAAGATTTCAGGTTTTTACGGTAAGTCATTCTTCACAAACGTCAAATAGGACACTCACCGTGAATAACCCTTAACTATATAAAAATTTATATAAAATTAATTGAAAAACACCACATACAAGTGTCAACTTTCAACTGACATATTTCAAATTCAAAACACAAGTTTCAAATAAAAATTTCAAGTTTCTACAAATATTCGTTGCGGTCCATCTCAGGCAAGACCTACTTAATGAAGAATAAGCATCTGTTGGGATGGGTTTTACCACTGTCCCGCGAAAGGCTGCGGTTAAGGTACTGTAAAATACTTAGAACGTCAAAGGACTATATTTTTGGTCGTACAATATAACTTTACTAAATTTACATCTCTTAGTTTTGGTTAGTTAGTATATGTGGTAAATAATTTATTGTAAATAACAAACTTGCCTCTTGTTCTATAAAACTATTTGAAACAATAATATAGAAAATAACAAACGAAAATATTCTTTTAAATGTAAAACTAAGTTCGCCAGAAATTCTCAGGTTGGCGTTTCTGATTTTTGATCGGGATTTCCGCGTGCTGCGTGCAAAACAATTTTGTTTAAGGTCGATATAAATATATCCGAGGAAGGAAGCACAAAAGAGCGGCAAAACGAACAGCAAGAGGAGAAGGAAACATGCAGTGACGTCGAAGAGTCAGTACCACCGGTCGCGCCCGCGAGAAGAAGGCGGTCCCGAGTTCACGCGGGATTTAGGAAGAGCGAGGGTGAGTATTGTTGCGAAAAATCGAATATGGTTCGCGTTCAATTGGTCTGGTTGCAGGTGGCAATAGCGCTGACAGCGCAAGTTTAGATGTCGACGATGGTTCGGGATTGCGCGCCAGCAAATCCGACACCAGCTTAACGGACTCGTTCATAATTATCGACGCGAAGAAAAAAAGTGTTAATCCGTTGCACGTACTTCGAACAGGTATTTATTTAATGATGTGGTTGTGAGACCGGTAACTTAAGATTAAGACCTCGTTTTGATCATGGCAACTAGTCTCTATTCTGTAAATGGGTTAGCGCCAGTTTCACACTCTGGCCATTTTTCTTTTTGCTGCCATTGTATTATAAAATCATCTCACCAATTGTGATAAGTTAAAATGGCATGAATCGTAACCTTTCAAAATGAAAAGCCATTTTCTTTCCTACATCAAAAGCTCCTAAGAAATATTGAAAGTTTTGAATATTAATGATCTAGGATATATGCAAGTCTTCACTTTTGTAGTCATTTAAATAATAAAGCGTTGTGGATGCTTGGTTTTATTAGGAGATAGACCCAAGAATTTGTATTCCTTCCTTCTGTGATCTCATCGTGAATACTCATCTAGTGTCTGGCGTCCATTTTATGGCATACATCAATACTTTCTTCAGTTACATTACACATTTCTATTTTGAATTTTCCATATCTGCTGCCCATGGAATTCTTCATAAAATTAACCTTCAATTTCCTGCCAGAGCAACCTGAGCAGCTGATAGTTGCGACTATCCAATTCATGATTGACTTTTTTGCACCGTTCAACATTTTCTTGAATCAAATTTATAATAATTTCAGTTAGAAACTACTAGACTTCACGTAGTCTTGAATGTCCTTCTACTCCTGAAATAACTTAAATAGTATTCTTTCTCTCTCTCTGATCATTAGTATTAGTTTTATTTTGTTGGTTGTATTTTTTATCTTCTTTAACTAACTTCTTATGTCTTTCTAGAATTGTGATATAATTCTAATATATCTTTTAAAACTTTCGAGAAAATAAAGAACAGGTCAGTGATACATCACTCAACTGATTTGATTTGTTTTTGTTTATTATTGACTTGTTGATTATTGGAAATAAAGACCTTTATTATTATTATTATTATTAAAGATATTTTTTACCACATTTTTAGAAGGAGCACCTAGTTTTAGGCTTTTTAGCCTTGAATTAAATGTCTAATATTTGGTCGCATGTTTAGGCTTCAAATGGCAAAGACAACTAGTTTTTAGAAGCAAATTAACCATGCATACGGCATACGATAGGAAGGATAACGCGGAACCAGCTTCTATCACCGCGTTGGCAGTTTCCAAGTAAGATCACTGCGTAGGAAAGTGCGATCCAGACAGATGCTAATCAGTTGTTCTTTAGGGACCACAGAGTGGTGTACGTAGGGGATACCAGAGGTCGCGTCTTTTCGTGGTCAGTGTCGGACACGGTCGGCCGAGCAGCTGACCATTGGCTAAAGGACGAGGGTGCTGAAGGTTGTGCGAATTGTAACGTAAGGTTTACACTTTACGAAAGGCGACATCACTGCAGGAACTGCGGGCAAGTCAGTATCAAAAAAAATTCATTTAATACGTGGTGAAGTAAGCAAACCAAGACCAGCTTTATAAAGTGTATTTTTGTTTCTTTAAAGGTGTTTTGCTCGAGGTGTTCAAGGTTTGAAAGCGAGATTTCGAGGCTGCGAATTTTAAAGCCGGTAAGGGTTTGTCAGGCCTGTTACGCGGCTTTGAAAGGTGAAAAATAATTCACTTTTACACTAAGGATATCATAGGAAACTTACAATATTAAGAACAATATTTAACTGTACAAAATCATATTTGTAGAGAGTTGGATATATTTTGTAGGTAATTTATTAAGAGACACAGTTCTCGAATAAAGGAGAAGTATTAACCAACAGGGCTGATTGTAAAGAATTATTTTGTAAAATGAATTCAGTTTTTTTTTATATATGATGGAACTTGGTGGTGGAGATTAACTGAAACTGAAATTTTTATGCGGGGGACTTGGACTGTTGATTTTTCCTTTTACAAAAGCGGTCAATTCACTAGCAAATTTTTTTCAATTTTCTGGTTGTGATATTTTCTTTCGAAAGCGCTCTCTCGTCTGTTATGAACCTGATAGTGGAAGGTATTTTGATGTGGTATCCAAATTACTTGAATGATTTTAATTTCTCAATATTTAAAATGAAATAAAAAACGCGAACACTTAACCTTATCACTAGCGATAATTTTTGGGTTTTGGATGGGCAGATAATAGTTTTTTGTGCTAAACAAACAACCTTCATGAAGTATTATCTACCATGTAGTCTTAGATGAGACAATAAATATTTTACCAAATAATTTTTGGCTGCGATACCTGATTCAAAACTTATTATTCAATTATTATTGTTATAGACTCCGTTCGACGGTTTTCAATTCACAGTCGCGTATTTTCGTGGCCGCGAATTAAAATACATTTCTGGCATTTTGAATTTCTAAAAATTTTACATGTAGAAGTGTATTTTAGGCGGGTATACAATTTAAGCGGAGCATTGTATTGTATTCTACAAAGAACTCCTGCCTAGAAACTGATAAATTCGGTCCCCTGTAGAATAAATGTGTACACATAATAATGCTAATTATATATATTTATATAAATTGTAATGTATTATATAGAACCAACAATTATGATGTTAAATATAATAGAAATAATTTGATGTTAATTGAAAGTGTTTCTGGCCTGTTTTAGATTTGTTTTGTTTGCAATTGATTGTTTTCACTTTTTTTTTTGGACATATTTTTACGATAATTAGGAATTCTAGTCAATTCATTTGAAAACCCAATTTTGAGCAAGTTGCATAATGGATATAAATGAAGAAGATGCAAAAACATTAAATTGTATACAAAACATTTTTTTGTTGATTTTGTTTTAACTTAAATGAAAATTTATTATTGGTTATTACCTTTCATATTTTATATATTATTTATTATGAATTAAGGTTTGTCTATCGTTTTCCATTTTTATTTGGATACATTTTGTTTTCCTCAATTTTATATAATAGAATATAAATATAAAAATATATAATATTTCATATTTTATATTTTTATGTTACTTATACAATTTTTATCTGATAATTTTTGTGATATAGTTTTTAAGTTAAATTTGTTATTTATGTTGTTTCACATTAAATTTTGATTTAAAGGAAACTCATAGTTGTTTATTTTGTGTCGCCCATACCTTAATAACATAATCTTTAATATAGTCAATTTGTAGAACCTAATTTTGGTTTTGTGAAAGCCCATCACAAAATGCTTTGTGGTATGTTGAAGAAGGTTACCCACGCATAATACAAAGTCTACCTCTAAATAATACAATGTATTATTTAAAGGTATATAAATATTTATATATATAAATATATATAAACATCACAGGTGAATCATGAAATGCATGAAATTTTGAAATTAATATTCATAGTCTTATTTTTAAAGTAACACAAAAAATCTCATATACAACTTGTAACGTGTATTTGTTAGGATCAAGTGCTTGCAAGCAGGGGCCCCTTGCATTATTGGACAAAAACACTTGACTTGGAACAAAAATTACAATTTCGTCAACCGAATTGTTCGCCTCTGTATAATAAGTTCGTTTGCTAGATTACCCTTGTTTAGATTTGAATTAAGAGCTTATTTAGTTTATCCGCTATCTCCCACATAAAATTATAAATTATTAATTTAAAACCACACTCACCAATCGAATTAGAAGTAAGTCTACACAAGGCTGCAAAACTACTCGCTACGCAAAAAATAATTCACAAACATTTTGATCTTCATCACAAATACCGCCAGAAACACACTTTCTGCCGTAGCTATGGTCGGGGCATAGAATTAAGTTACGGTAACATGTCCAGTTTCTTATTCCATGACGTGCATGCAAAACTAATTAAACTACATACTCGTAGATGTCGCCACAGGTATTGCCCAAAATGATTCTTGAATTTTCAATTTTAACGTACGTTTCCTATGGAACAGTGAACGCACGTGGTTGACGGACTACATCTGATACAAATCTGTGCCACGACGAAAAGTAAATGTAATCGTTTTCTTTGGCGTCTGTCACAGTGGTTAAAAACGTCTAGCAAGCAAGTGAAAGAAATCATTAATCAGGAATTACTGACTATCTGTCTTTGAAGGTTCATCAGAAATAAAAGTAACCAAACGCCAACCAGCACTAACCAAAAAAAATTGAGAATATAAATTTTAATTCATTTATTTGCGAACTAAGACGCCGCTTGTAAAAGTTGGAGTGCCAAGTTCACCGCCGAGTTAGTCTTTGAGCAGTGTAACGGCGGCCGCAGCGCAGAGTGCATCTAACATATTTTGCGCTTTGTATTTGTGAACGATAATTCACTAATATTAGTTGTTAATAACGCGAAAGTATTATTTTCCTATCCCGAAGACGAACGATTAGTTGAATTTGTATCGGAAGTTGCCAATGAAAAGAAGTTTTGATAAAATTAATGCTATCGTAAGAACTTTGTGTCGAAGATAGAACTGACTTACTATAAGAAAATGAAGCACGGCAGCGTTTAACTATCTTATGATTCGGCCACTTGGTGTTGGAGGGCAAAAAGGCAAACCAGCTGATTCTGCATAAATATTTATTTTTAAATCGAATATAAAATTTATCACGATAAATAAAAATTGGAATTAATATATTACAAAATAATTTACACGTTTTAAATAATATAGACTTTACAAAAACATATTTACATAAAATACAATACATACATTATTTAAACAACCATAATACTACAAAAACAGTTAATAACTGCTAATACGACAACAGCGTAATCGTTGGCACATGAATGAAATTATCGAAGCATCTATTAACATAGAATTAAACGCATTTAAGGAACATACTTGTTAGTCAAATATCTCGCTAGTACCGTTTAAGTCACTGGCCAAACTTAAATAGGATAAGTGTAATTCGTAGGTAAGTAATATCAAATCCGACGCCATCGGGATTCTGAGAAATAATTTAACCAGCGGGAAAAATATACTCTGTACACACAACCGATTAGGCTACCCACCTACTGAAAAGTTTCTTGGAACTTGGCCCGATAATTGAAACGTAAATTAGAATAAGCAAACTTGATACGCATTTCGAAAACTTGTCATGTTATATAATTTAAAAATTAATTTGACAAACATACTTGGGATCGTAACCTCGATTTTCTCGCATTTAATTTTAACTATTATAAAACGTATCTATCGGTTTTGTACCGAAACACCTTGCTAATACTGAATAAGCCTACAGCAGTTTGCTATAGATTTAGTACGTAAACGACACGAACTCACTCCGAGCGGCAGCAAAAATTCAAATTACTTTTCTGTGTACGGATTGTCCAGGAATGTTCTCCCAGGCATGCACATAAATTTCTTCGAAAAAAGACCACAGCCAAAGTAAAATCGAATTGACAGCTTGCGTTTTCGGTGACCACCCTATACTTAATTTATCTATTGTGCCTATATGGTTCTGAAGCACTTTAGGGTACCTGCCAATGTGTAACATTTAGCACATCACTTGTGAAGATGAGACGGTATGATATAATCAGCAGTAGCGTACAACATTCTGGCGTACCAGTGAACACCAACTTTTGGTTTGGCGGTGGCAATTTCATTGAACTGCCAGCTTTGTACAGGTTTGCTGAACACCGACCAGAGCCTGTGCACGCCTACGTTTATGTTCCAAAACAGCCTTAACGGCATAAAAGCCCAGTGCGCCAACGATTGGCTATCGACAGTGGCGTAACACGACATCACGACGTCGTTAACAACTACGGTGCCCGTCTTAGTAAGGGGCGCAAAAACGCCAGTTCTAAACACGAGGTCTATTCGCACTATCGTATCTTCCACTAATTTATTATCGGAGTCACTAACTAACAATTTATCACCAGTTTTTAAATCCGCCACGTATACCGTCCGATCATCTTTTAGGGTCACCAAATGGTACGGCGTCACCGTTAGTGTTCGGCCTGTTTCTAGTGCTATTTCAAAGAACTCCCGCTTATCGGACGGGTTGTAGTCTAAAAACAGGATCACTTCACTAAAAACTAAACGTTTGGTGGCGGCATCGAGGGTCAGGATCTTCTCGCCGACGTGCAAATCGGATAGTGATCTTCTTTCACCCGATGGCGTCGTTACGGATGTATCGCCAGTGAAACAGCCTCCGTATTTGGCCGCTTGTGACGATTCTGAAATCAAGAAATCACGGGTAAATCTTAAACATTCTTCCAAGTTTCTACAAAGAAAGGAGAAAATATATTCCGTTGCCAACAATGTGGGGAAAGACACATTATATGGAGCTATTAGCCTCCCCCAAAACTGAAATAATTAGAAAAAAAAATAATTTTTAGGGGCCGGCCATAAGGCTCTGCCTACTAGTTAAATAAATGAAATTATGAAGTTGAATGCTGAAAATTCCTTTGTTGCTTTTTTCAAAACTTCTGGATTCCTCCTGAGTCTGTTTTTGCTGAGTTCCATCAAAAAATAGACTTCACTACAACCTTCCAATAGGAATGAGGGCCGAAAGCAATCCCACACTTGCCACTGTTGTCCTTCCTTACATTCAACCACATATCAAAAGTTCTATAGAAGTATAACGTCAAAACCAGATTTACCACTTGTCCAAAAATCTCTCAACATCTTCGGTCCGTCAAAGACAAAATTCCATTAGAGGTGCCAGGAGTTTACAGCATTCTATGCATATGCGGCAAAGAATACATTGGAGAGACCGGACGAAAAATATCAACTAGAATCAAAAAACACGAAAGGGCCTTACGACTAAGACAAATAAACTCATCAGCTGTTGGCGAACACAGTCTTGAAACCGGACATAAAATTTTATTCTGTAAAACTCTAACGAAAAATTCGAGAGTCTATAGGAATCTATAAACAACCTAACAATCGTAACCGCGAGTCAGCTCTCTACCTGTCACCAATATGGGAATCAGTCATACGAGCCAGTTTCAGTCAAGCTTTGAAGAAGCCAACAGGATGATTGGCGAAACGTCAGCAAGTTCGACTAAGCAAAAACAGATGCAGGAGGAATCCAGAAGTTTTGTAAAAAGTATTACAGTAGCATGTGGAAGTTTCTTTGAAAAATCCTTTGCTGCTGTTCTGTACTTTGGTACTAAAAATTTTAATTTATTTCTGGCATCTCTGTTATGCATATTATAATTTTCTTAAAGAAAGAAAAGAGCTTTTTGCCAAACCATGTACAAAACTACTCAAATGATAACTCCTTCAATAAAAAATGTCCAATCAATGTTATGTGATCCGATTTTCTTAGGTTAAATATCAAACGACAGCAATTGTTCTGCACCCTTTGAATGCGATATTGCTCCAACTGCCGCAGACAAGGACCGTAGATAATTAAAATGCGTCGCACAAAGCAACTTTCATTTTGGTCCTTCCTTAAAGAATATATTGAAATCAAGCAAGACATCAAGGTTTGACATTAAGAAATCCCAATTTGTTTTGTTATCAAATAGCCAACCAAATTGATTTGGATGTATTCAGTTTTCGCTCGCATTGCATCCGTGTTGGTATTAAAATCAGTGTCAGGAAAGTGACAATGATGTGCAGATTATAAAAATTAGAGGACCAAGTACAGAGCCTTGAGGCACCCCAGAAAGTACATTACTGGACTATGAAAACACACCATCCACCAGAACGTTTTGTGACCTATTACAAAAAAAAAATCTGACTAGATTTGATGATCCATTCTTAAACCCATAATACTAAGTTTGGATAATAAGAGACGGTTCCTGGTGTTTGGTTTTAATTTCGATTGCGGTCTTCCAGGTTTGAGAAAAGTTGTTTTGTCCAAAACAGCTGTTTATGATATAATAAATTAGGTGTACCTTCTTAATTTTTCAAAGAAACTGGAAACAGTTAAAGAAGCCAACAGAATGATTGGCGAAACATTAGCAAGTTCAACTCAACAACAACTGACGCAGGAAGAATTACATAACATGAGCCATATTAAAACATACATTTACGACGCTCTTATGACTCGCACTTCGCAAAACCATAATGGATCACAGAATAGTAAACGTGTTTAGGAAAAGGAAATTGTCTATTATTTAAATTGGAACTCCACTTAAATTTAGGTATTAACTAGGAGTTAAATTAGAAGAGAACTTCAGTAGTCTAGCAAATGAAACGTTTCCTAATCTCAATTAACGATTCCACGATCACAGGAAAGGATTCGAACACGACGTAGTAAAATGCGCTAATAGTCTAGGAGCTTAGAATAAGCCTTTGGAATCAAGGGACAGTTCCAAACAGGCAATACGATGGAGGGGCGTGTAATAAATCGATGATAACGCTTGCAGTAGGGCGGCGTAAAAAACGCCAAAACGAAATCTGTCTGCGCGCGACGTCGGTACATATCGTGACCAGAGATCGCTAATTCGTTAACCCATTGAATATGAAACGCGGCCATAAATTTAAGTTTTTTGTGGTCGCAATTGAATATTTACATGCATAAAAGATAAAAGCGGGACCCCGTTCAAAAATGGCCGGGCAGATTTTATCGATCATATTTATGTGACGGCCGCCTGATTGTCAACTGTTTCTAAAAGGCATCCCTTTACTGCCAATAAAGGCAGCGGCGCCATATCGCCGTTCCGTCACGTGGATCGGGATCGGCCGCGGATCACGGTCGCCCTTTAGAATAATTTATGACGTTTTTATTACTTAGTCTATGGCGCAAGAACGACGTAATCGAAGAGGGAACGGTTGTCCCGGTACGTCACTCATAAAATATGGTAGACGAGTATCGTCCTATAACTAAGAATAACCGTTTTTGAATAGAGTATCTCATCTGATCTCAAGGATCTTGAGTGATGGATAGCCCAAAAGTATGGTTATGAGCTACATTAATGAGGAAAATGCAAGTCTTTAATTGAAATGTGGATATTGTATGTATCGTATGGATCCATTTTACTGTGCATAGACCAAGAAAAAGAGCTACTGACCATAATTAAGAAAAGGAAACAGGCATGGTTTAGGCATATTCTCAGAAATGATAAATACTACTTCCTACAACAATAATCAACGATAAAATTGAAAGACAGCGAGGCAGAAGATGAAAAATATCTATAACGGTCTCGCACGTCAAAACACTAGTCAGAACAGCAGAAAGACGAGAAGAATTTGCTGTAGTTATCGTCAATCTTCAGTGAGAAGAACATAAAGTGGCTGCAAACATCAATTATTTCACATAACATTTTGTGGTTACGTGTAAAACATTATAAATAATATGGTGTTACTTCCATTTAAATAAAATAAACAATGAACCCCGGGTTTTTATGGAGAACGCTATAAATTAACTACACAACTACAGCACTACACATTTAATAATTTTTGTATTGAGCTCCAGTCCAGACGTCCATATGCATATCTATGGGTGACTCTTTATACAGCTCGAGAAATATGCATTCGTGCGCCGCTGGCCATCCCTCCGCGTTCGATTTGGAAGACGAAAGAGCGAGAGACCGAAAGAAAAACAGATAATGTGAACTAGTAAAGTTAATTTGAGGCTATTTAACTAGCACAAATGTCACAACAGATCCTATCTCGAAATGTATCGCTTTACAAGTGCCCGATCTACACACGGGTCCTTCGGGGGAACGGACCAAACACACCACGGTCCAATTTTACACTGAGGTTGTCATTCAAAAAGATCTAGTATTCCCAAGTATTTGGCAAAATAGTTTTTAAGAAAATGACTGGACTTAACATTTGTGTATATTTATTTAGTATATTTATTCCTATATTTCGCTCACTAGAGTGCGAAACATTTTTCCACTAAAATAGGAATCGTTTAATCAAGTCATTCCTTAAGGTCTCTAGTATAATAGTTAATTTTAAGCCTAATGATCAAATGGTCAAATGATCCTAGCAGACTTGGCCAACAGAAGTAAAGAAGAACGTAACCCAAACCAGCCGACTAGTGGTATTAATATATCAAAAGGGCGAAGTTTAGTAATAATTATTTGAAATTAAGAAGAATGAGACTGAAGGTTAAAAATAAATTAATTACCTTAATAAAAACTCAAAATAAGGACATCCAACTATGCTGGATACCAAGCCATACTAGTATAAAAGAGAACGATATTGCTGAGTTTTGGGAGTGTTTCCCTAAATTAAAGCAGAACCTCTGGAAAGGAGTTAATTTCAACTCACATTTTTTTACTCTACCATGTAAACCCTGGTTGCATAAGCTGGATCTAAATAGAACAGAAATCACAACTATGTGTAGACTGAGAAGCAATTATTGCTGTTCTCCTGCCCACTTAGATAGAGTTAAAGTTAAGCCCTCCAGAGAGTGCGAAACTAGGCGATTTAAGTCATCTGCTGTGTGACTGTGCTCTTCATTGGGAAAAATCACATTTGTATGAGTCATTCATTAATTGTAATTTTCGGTCGCCTCAGCAAATTAATTCTATATTGTTTCACCGCACTCAGTTGGATTTTGCTGCTAGAATTGCTTATCGCTGTTTAGATGCATGTGGTTTAAAGCTTTAAATATTGCTTTCTAATTATTTCGTCCATTCGCCCATCTGCATAGCCGTTCAGTCGGACCCTCTTTACCGGGGCATCCTTCATGGAAAGAGATTGTTGCACACCACTACCGAGAAGCTGACCGAATGGCCTTAGCAGCAGTGGCCAAAAAACGCGTAATTTAATTTAAAAAACCCTAAACCAGCTGACTAATGCTATTAATAATAACTTATACACCAAAAGGGCGTAGTTTAGACTTGAAAAACAGTCACTATTCTTCCACTTAACCCTAAGTTTACATAATACTGTAATTGTCACAAAAAGAAAAAGAGCTAGCATCTAATAATCAGAAAAAAATAATGACATACATACGTAAGTACATTAGAAGTATGTATCTACTAAAAGAGTGAAGTTTCACCCATTTTCATTGCAAGTTTTTAAAACCACCGCAATCAAGACAAATTTTCTTTCTCGCTTTCTCGCTAGCCTTGTCTGAAAAACTATTATATTACATATTGTTCCAACATTATAAGCACTACCACAAAAGGAAACACAAACGATTGCAAAGTATACGGTGGAAATAATAATATATGTTTAAAACCGGCACTTGGTCGTGCGGGGTGCAATCCGTCCCATCCCGTTGGGTCCTTCTGGGCGTCCAAAATAACAAATGACCGGGTCCGTTGGTATTTGACGATAATGCCGCCGCGCGCTTAGCAACATCGGGTGCCGCGCCGCGTTGGCCCAAAATTAAATAACCCCGTCGTAGATAAAACCTTATTTATGTCCCGGCGTTTCTTTTATCTTCGTGATTCGGTATTTTGGGCGCTGCCAATTTTTCACCACGCGATTCCGACGGTCTCCGCACTTTCGGTGGCCGCGAAAAAGGAGGAAAAACGTCGACGCCACGGGATCTTAAGGGCGCTTTATACGCTACGATTTATAGTACGTTTTGCTCTATAGGACTATCAATTAAAACGGAGCACACGGAGAACACCGTACTATCAGCCTAACGAGCCATAGGTCTTTCTTAAAGTCATCCACCGTAGGATTTATAAGAAGCCGGAAGAAGATATAGGAGATAACCAGTTCGTCACAAGAGAGGCTTTGTTTGCTTACAACGCCTCAATGTCAACCAACCAGTTTTATTGATTACAACAAGGCATTTCATAAAGTGAGACACAAACAACTAATAGAAGCACTTCAACGAAAAAACCTTGACACAAGAGATAACGAAACGGACGAGTGAAGTCCAAAAACAAGTCGGAAAACTGATGAACAGAGCAAATTTTTGCGAGACTAAAGAGGCAATACGTGTAGGCAGACAATTTTATTTATTTATGGACGGGCCAACTGCCCAGTATAAAATAAGATTCACATAAACAAAATGAAATCAAATAAAATAAAACAGAATGAAGTAGATAGATAATGATCCAACCCTAGTATGACATTCTTTTTTCCAAAATATTAATATAGGAGTCGACACGACAGTAAGAACAACATTAGCAAGGCATCAACACATACTATTCAGAAGTCAGACAACGGAACAGTTTCACTGACATACTTTTAGTTCTATCTTAAATATTTTTGCACTCTGGAAGTTGTCACGTTGGTCCCAAAAGCGAATGCTAGTGCGGCTGATCTAGTAAGAAAAGGACTCTGCCCAGAGTCAGTACGATGTCCAATCTTAATTAATAGCTCAGGTCCACGAGAATTTGAGTGCAGTAGATTATAAACAATGGTGTGATCCCTATGCATGCGACGTCCTGAAATCCAGCCCATTAAAAGACATTATTTGTTTTAATCTTAGTAATCGAAATGAAAATGAATTCTGCCTGTAATAAATGAAGAAATATAAGGAAATAGATGTTGAAGCTAACAAAGAGACAATTTGCAGATCATTTTCTTAAGGGAGAGGCTAAATTGAAAAAATCAGAAACTTCTGGGGCTTGAGAGGAGGTATAAACCAGCTTTGTGATACTTTGCTCTGTTCGATTTTTTTTAAATGACCAAGATAAACAGGCAAAAGAATAACCATTCTTCCATAATTGATACCTTCGATCACCATAAAATCAGAACAAACATAACAAAACCCACGAAGAAAGGGAGCACCAATTGGATACCCGACAAACTTTAGTCACTTGTTTTACAGTTTCTTCACTTAACTTAATTTTTAAAGTTCAATTGAACAATAAATCTCTTTCATTACCCAATAACGTAAAAAAAATTGAACTTTTCTTGGATGAGCTACAGCTACAAACTGAGATATTTGTATCAAAGATTGTTTTGAATGACTTAAAGTTGAAAATTTTTAGTAGTAATGATATTAAATCGCTTGGTAGATCTGAGCAGAGCAGAGTTAAAGAAGTTCGATCATCGAGCTTCACCCACAGTAACTTCATCTCGACATTTTAGAAACCGAAGGAATGAATAATGTTATACCAAATCACAAAACAACCCAACGTCAAAGTTCTTTCTAGTATAAAGTTTTAGGTCATTGCCCCATCCTTATTTAAGACATGTTAAAATCAAAATATCTAGTATAGCTTCTCTCTTTTTTTGACTAGATTGTATATTATAATAAATAAATTAAAATAATAATTATTTTAGTCTATCTGGCATACCAAAGCACTATTATTTTAGTTTCATTTCATGAAATGTGTTGTTATGATCAGCTGATTGAAATTAATACCCCTGCAATTCCTTCATAAATATTTGAAGAAAGTTTCTGAAAATAATATGCAGCAAAAGCTCTTGTGGCTTTGTTTTTTTTTGCGTTCAAGGTCACAAATTGATTTTTGATTTTCGAAAACATGGATGCAATCGAGCGAAAAAACGTTGCCGACTTTTTCCTCGAAAGTCAAACGCAGGTACTTTCCAATTTATTGGAGGGTATTACGACAGGTCTTATCTGGTCGAATTTTTCAAAAGGCTACGCGCTTACACACCTGACTGGATGCGCTCAAAGCACCAAAAATTAACTGTTAAACAAACATCTTGGCCGTTGCGGGTCGAAACGAGGAAAACCAATAAGGCTAATCCGAAATAATATTTGTGGGTAAAATTTTAAGCCCCAAGAGCTTAGGCCAAAACGCCCGTATCTTTTGTTGTTGCTTGTTTTTGGGATTTCGGGTAATGCGATTACATTTTTGGCTTGTTAACTTTTCGGGATTACCTTTCTCGCTTTTAGTTTTCGAGATAAAACTGAGCTTTCTTGTTACTAGGAAACGCTTCGGAATACACATACGTACAAGATTTTCCAGAAGATTCTCACTGTAAACTTCTTTAACTTGATTTATTTAATAAAAGTACTTATTAAAAATTAAATTGTGTATTATGGCGTCAATGTTCAGAATTGAAATTTCATTTTCAACGCACTTTTAATTATGAAGAAAGACAAATATGATTAGGACTTTAAAAAAAGCTATATTTATTGCATACAATGGAGGTAAATTTAAGAATCGCCATACTAATTAATATAAAAAGTTAAATGTCTGTTTGTGACTCGTGTTTTTAAAGTACCCCTATCTTTATTTAAAAAGTAAGTTGCTTTAAACTTTAAACAGCTTGGTTGACTTACAACGTATTCCTTGATTATCGTATTTAAATTATTCGAGATATAGGACTACCAACTTCAAATATGGTATCTCTGTCTATAATAACATTAAAACCAGTTGTCTAGTGCAGTGATGAATGAAAATTGGTATTAAGGAAGGATGGAATATTTTTAATAAAAAAGAAATGAAAAGAAAGGAAGATGTGCTGAAGCTTGCTCCGTATATAGGTACACTTTTTGATAGCAATAGATCTAGGGAAACTTGAAAAAGAAAACAACCAAACATTTGAAAAATATGTGGATCATTTTTGGTTTAGACAGAACATAAAAAATAATTACCTGACTTGACGGAGCAATGGATATGGGCTCTGCTTTCGTAGTAGACCCAATCGAAGCCTGCCTCGACCGCTAGTCTTGCCAGCATACCGTATTTGCTGCGATCACGGTCGGATGTGGTGATATCCACTGCCCGACCCTCGTAATGTAAAGAGTTTGCCGTATGGTGACCTTCTTCGTCCCAGGCCTCCGTCACCATCAGCTGCACACCCGGCCACTGGTTCATCACAGATATAGCTAACGTATTTACTTTTTCTTTACAACGCTGGAACAAAAAGAGGACATAATGTCAGCCGAAAGCAAAACATCTCGCCGATGCCGTTTCAATTTATAGATCGAGGATCGAACAAAAAACAAACTCTTTTCTAAGGGTTCAAATACACCCACAAGTTATTCTCTCAAAAATTACTATTATTATTAAACGTCACGTGTTTCGCACCAAGGCATCCAAATGTCAACTTAAACTCGCACAGACACAAGTTAGAATAAGTCCCTCTGATTTAAGCGATAACATAAACAACGAATTAAAACAAAGTTGTAATTTGAATATAAAAAACTCATAACAACGCTTACGACGGAGGCTTACATTTTATGTTATTCAAAATTAACGTCGGCTCAAAATTGAAGACGTCATTAACTCAATCAAGGATAGAGTTCTTCTTGCTTTTGCCGATTCAAGAAGATCAAGTTGGTACTATTTCGGCACTCATACACATGGACAAAAGATGAGTAACGAAAGTTGATGTAGTCTCTCTCTCACATCGGTATCCTACTTTTTCACCAAACTTAGATGTTCGTGAACGCTGATGAAAATCTTCCTATGGGACTGTCCAATTACATGACAATCTTCACAGTTCAAAAAATAGTCCACAAAATTATTTACTTTCATTAGAAATTGCTTCGGAGTATTGTAAACTTTAAAAGCTATAGAGCAACTGCTATTAAATTATTTTGTAACCAATTTTAAAGAAATATTACTGAAGCATTGGAATTTACGATCCGGAGGTTTTGGACACGAAAAACGCAACACTTGGCCATTTTATGCATAAAAAAAGAAATTCCTCTAATAAAGCTTGCTGCAATTTATTTAAAATTACTTGGCAGGACACGATTTCGAAATATGTTCGGTTTCGCATCTCGACTTAACTCTGCCCACTCCAAGACAGGAATGCTCACATCGTTTAAGTTTTGTTGAGTGATTCATGCAGTGTGGGTGTGACATTATCATGTTCCAATAACATCAACAAAAAGGATAATAAAATCTTCAAGAATATCTTCAATGTAGCTGCCGGCAGTAAAACAGTACTCCGTGTGTGCCTCCATAGAAATTACAGTCCACATCATAACCCCCTTGGTAACCTATCCTACGATTGATGGTATATTCTGCGAAAGGTATTCGTGGTCTTCGCCATACCCTCTCACAACCATCTAAAGACCGCTAAATAAATATCGACTAATCGGTAAAAAAAATGTGCTTCATTTTATTTTCAAGTTGATGTTCATGACTCCAAGCAAACTGAAGGCGCGTTATGATGTCTAAGAAACTCTGGGGCTGTTGCGGGCCCATGACTAGCCAACTAACATAACCATTGCAGCAGCTGTTTCAGGAAGAAGCCTGAGAAAACTTTAAACTTGTTAAGCATACAAAAAGTATACCTTTCAAATTTCTCATAACAAAAATACCCAATGCCAGCTACGCAGTTTTAAGTGATAAATTTATGCATTTGTTTTTGTTATTGAAATCTGGTTTTACTTTCAAATAAGCGGTTAATTGTTTTGAGAAATAAGCTAAAATATTCTGTTTTGTTTGTGTGTATTTGTTTGGCGAACTTGTAAAACAACTGTTCGATAGAACGAAACTTAACCAAATGCAATTTGTCTAGTAGTCGTCAATTTCTTCTTGGATTGCTGAAGCCCTGTCCAGATGCTCCGTTTTGTAGAACGTTTTGCCTGCACGTTATAGACAGAACGTTGCGCCCGAATAAGAAAACTCTGCAGTTTTCGTACTGTGCAAAGACTGTACAGTTGCAGCAATAACTGAACTGATAAAAGTAGAAATACGTGAATTGTGCAAACGTAGTTTTGTTTTAGGCAAACCTTAGGCAATGTTTCAATAATTCAATAATTTCAAAAAGACAGCCGAAAAATTCACAGAAATTGTAAAAAAATAATTCTTTAAGAAATTTTTATTCAAAAGAGCCGTTAAAACTAAATAAATCATGTAGATTTGGGACTGGAGAATATGATGTAAACTTCTTAAATGATAGAGTGACACCAAGGCAGTCTGCGAATATAAATGCGGATATAAATGACGAGACTACAGTTAATGAAACTCTAGAAACGGCATAATTGTTGTGAATTTTAAGTATCTATAACTTCTGCCAGTCACCAGAAAACCTAAAATTATTTACAAATCTTCTATATTCCTCCTGCGTGGGTATCAAGGTTGCTGACGTTTCTTCTATTGGCTTCTTCAGAGCGTCTGACGCTGAATATCGATTCATCAACAACGGTTGCAGGAGGAATCCAGAACATTAGTAAATCGTATTACAGTTTCTTTCTTTTATTAGGTTCGTTAAGTAATTCCAAAAATAGCGCCTTTTTAGAAGAGCGACCATGTTGAATGCCAAATACAAGTCACTCCAATCTTTTTTTTTAATTACATCACAACCTTCCAACATTGATCAGAGTAGACGTTCTTTTTAAGAATACTTTTAGCTTCTGTCTTAAAACTATGCGGGCAAAACGTTGTACAAAACGGAGCGTCTGGACCGGTCTTTACGTGCACCCCGTCGTCGAACAGGAAGAAAACTTTTGCGTCGGTCAGTGTTTTGACATAAAATGCGGTCGTTTTGTAAAAGCGTCTTCGGTCGGAGGGTGGGCCGCCGTTGTTGTACCTGGCAGGTCCCTAAAAGAGCAAACACTGGCGCTGTGTACACACATTTTTCAAATATATTGCCCCGAAATGAATAGGCCGAAAAGGTGCCGACCTATCTTTTCTTTACCGAAAACTCGAACACGCATTAAATTGACTGTTGCCGGGACCCGATGTTCATTTATCACAATGGCAGAAAGGTCCGGGTGCGTGTGTGTGCGCGCGGCATTGAAATTTTCTGACCAATTGCTCGGCTTTAATACGTTTTCGCTAATGCGATCTTTTTCCGAAGGATTTCGACCGAGTGGCCCGACAATTTACGAGGCCGGATTATGTTACCTTTCCCATTCGGCATAATTATTTTCTTTTTGTGCGGAGTTAATTGAAGTTAAGAGGAAGGTTCCTTCTCTAAAATGGCGCACTGATGCGCCTGCCTACACAGGCGGTAAATCTACCCATAGCGTTTTTGCAACTTTAAAAGGGAATTTCTTTTTCCTGTTTTTTTTTACTTATAGGCAGTAATGGCAACGACTTGATAGAACAGTGGTGAAATATTTCTAAAATATGCAAATTTATGTACCTAAAAATTGAAAATATTTAAGTCTTTCCTAATGTTTCGGAAAAAATTATTGGTAAAAAAGTAGCATTACCTATTTTTCAGGAACATTCAGACATCGTAGGGAAAGACTATAAATTTGTTTTTTTAATTTTTGATACAATTGAATCAACAGGTAATGAATACCAAAGTACTGATTTGCTTTTTATTTGTAATTAATACGCACAAATATAGCATTTTAAATCAAATACAAAAATCAACATCAAATTAACATTCTTTTGCATTTCTTATTTATATTAATTTCAGCAAATATCAGATATTATGGCGTTATTTTGAATCCAATATTTTTATTTTTGACAGGCCACATTGCCTTTTTTGTTGACGTTACGCTAAAGGTTAAATTAATTTGTCTTTTATTTATATATAAATCGTAATAAAAAAGTAATTGATGTAATCAAAGAAGTTCCCGTAGACCTACTTTTAATTTAGACAACAATGTAGTCCTTTTACGCAATTTAATTGACAGTTCTAAACGCTTTATCAAAATAACAACGTCGTTTTAAATTAGATATTTCCACATTGAGATTTAAGACTCCTGCAGCAGCATTTTAGGAAATTGAAAATACTATACAATTCAAATCAATAATTAATACGCGACTAGTAAAAGATGACATTGAGATAAAATCAAATCATTTTATTTTTACATTTATAATCCAAAATATTTAACGGTATAAGCATCACTGCCTACGCTTTAAACATTATTAACGGCAATCGGCCTATCTTATTCCGCCGTAGGTTGCCTTAAAGTTGTTCGGTTAGTAAGGGAAAACGTTTTTTTTTTATGTGCGCATGCTTTAGATAAAGTAAAACATTTTAGAATGAAACGGTGCAGAAAGTCCCCACTAGTGCCAGCCGCGTAAAACAGCAAATGCAATCAATAACGTTTTTGAATTTGAATATATGTCGTGACATGGCAACAATGTATTTAGTGAAATTGGAACATTCATCATGTAACTGTCTGTTCGAAGAACAGAGAACAGAAAATCAAAATGAAGGAGCTTATTGTATACGCCTCTCAACTTAATTTTTATAAATTTTGGAACTCCTTTTCCGTATTGGTTTTCTTTAATGAATGAACGAAAATCCACTCTTTTGGTGAGAGAATGTGTTGTTTTATAAATTAAATAACCTAAACCTGAATATTTGAATTCGCATTTTTTGTATATGTTTATTTTATAAGAGCTAAAAGGTTCACAAGTTGTTAATATTTAGATGCAAGCCTGCACGTTTGCCAATTTTAATCTCATTCAGATGTTCTGCGCTCTGGTACTTTTATGGTCTGTGATCGTGCTGCATGCTGTGAGCGACTGACCTGGGCTCCACTGGTATTATACTAGTTTTACACTGACAATAAATTCATGAAGCAAATGATGAATTTCTTCAGACGAAGCATACCCGAAACGTGAATTAATTTTACATCTCAAAATGTCATTCGACAGGTCAAACAACTCATAGAATTTTTTAAAGATTACGTTTGGCTGTTCTTGTTGTTATGAAACACTGTTATATCCATAATAGTCCTTATTGAGTTAAAATGTTTAAGCCCCAGAAAAATAAATATTATACAAGAATAACAGAATGAATGAAGAAATGCTGCCCTTATGATTGCTGCTAACAGTTTTTGGCTTATGCCTAATATCGTCGAAGAAATGTTGGATAAACTGCGTAGTCTCAAAACTCAAACTTTTGAGATCTGATAAATGCCATAAGTTGATAAGATAAACTTATGGTAACTCTAGCATTTCTAGCAATAGGTGAAACTTCTGGAAATCTA